TATCTAAAGTTCTAGACTCAACAATCATTATGCGTAGACTAAGTGGTGCTTGGGAGGAAGAAACAGGAGAGAAGCAGGCAGCCTTTAGACCAGGAAGAAGGTGTATTAATCATATCCGTATTTGAGGAAGGACTAGCTAAACACATATCTGTGTTCGACAGCTGTGCTCACCCTGAAGAAGCTTGGAAAAATATCCAGGCAGCCATAGATACAGCTGTAAAAGCTGTGAATAAGGTAAACCCAAAGGTGAGTAAAAACCACTGGATCTCCACCGCCTCATCCGAACTGATAGATGCTAGAAGACTTATTCCGGCGAGCTCCGAATTCAATGAGGAGCGAAAGCTGCACAAGAGGAAACTTACGAAAAGTCTCCGCAAGGACCGTGAACAGTGGTGGGCGACAAAAGCCAAAGAGATGGAGAAAGCTTCGAGGATAGGCAACACCAGGCAACTCTTTGGACTCATCAGGGAAACGGGTGGGAGAAGACAAATCATTAGTGAGACAATCTCGGAAAAAAATGGCACTATAATTAGCTCCCAGGATAGACGACTGGATCGTTGGAAAGAGCATTATGAGGAGCAGTTTAATTTGCCCACAGCCACGCTCAACCTTCCGAGCATCCAACACCTCCCTGAATGGGATATAGACACAGGTCCTCCGTCCCTAACTGAGGTTACTAAAGCTGTCACCAATCTGAAACTAGGCAAAGCAGCGGGACCTGATGGAATGACTCCAGAGGTATTTAAGTACGGTGGAGACAGCTTACTGTCCGGATTAACTGAGGTACTAGGCAGCGTCTGGGAATCAGAAGAAGTCCCATCGGGTTGGTGTAAGTCACTGATTATCCCCATATACAAGAAGGGAGACAAGTCTTCCTGTGATAATCACAGAGGGATTAGCTTGACTAATATAGTATCTAAAGTCTTAGGCTCAATAATCATGCGTAGACTGAGTGGTGCTCGGGAAGCACAAACACGAGAGAGCCAGGCAGGCTTTAGACCAGGAAGAGGGTGTATTGATCATATCTTCACCCTCCGACAGATTCTAGAACATAGGCATTCCTACCGGCGTCCAACAGTCATTATATTTCTTGACCTAAAGGCAGCATTCGACTCTGTCGATCGGAAGTTCTCTGGAGATGCTTGGCTGTAAAGGGAATTCCAAGAAAATATATTGCACTGATTAAGGCACTCTACTCGTACTCATACAGCCAGGTGAGGGCTTACGGCGAGCTGTCATCTGAACTGATGACGACCAGTGGTGTCCGTCAAGGATGCCCATTATCTCCTTTTCTATTCAACTTCATCATAGATGTGTTAATGGACTTAACCCTAGGTGACTTCAGCGACTCAGGGATTGACTTGCTACCGGGGAATAATCTCGTTGACTTGGAATATGCAGACGATATAGTCCTTCTAGGCGAAGACGCTGACGAAATGCAGAGTCTTCTAAACACCTTGAGCCGCAATCTACGAATGTTTGGCATGCGATTCGCTCCCGCCAAATGCAAGATGATGTTACAGGACTGGACTACATCGACGCCTAGTTTAAAAATAGGAAGTGAAGTGGTAGAGCACGTTGACCGCTTCACTTATTTGGGAAGTACCATCAGCCCCAACGGGCTGATCTCTGACGAAATCTCAGCACGAATACAAGGGGCTCGTTTCGCATTTGTTAGTTTACGCCGACTCTGGCGTAGACGAGATGTTCGACTATCGACCAAAGGGCGGGTGTACTGCTCATCAGTCCGCTCCGTCCTCCTTTATGGTTGTGAGACCTGGCCACTGAGAGTGGAAGACATGAAAAGACTAGCTGTCTTTGATCATAGGTTCCTGCATTCTGTTTCCCATGTGAAGTGGTATAATAGAGTAAGAAATATTGAGGTGAGACTTGGGTCGAGTGCTAGGTAAGGAGGGTAAATCAGTCGATGAGGTTGTGAAGCAGTTACACCGATCGAGATGGTTAAGACAAGTGTTACACATGCATGCCTAGTCATCGCCTTCATCGACGGGAAATGTTAGCTGGCTGACATAGCGTCAGGTTGGAAAAGAGTTATCAAGTGGTGGTCAAACGAATACATGGCCTCATCAGTCAATGGAATCCACAACAGTTAGTTTGAGCCACGTTGGGAGATGTAGACTTGACAGTTGGGGTTCTCGGGATGGTAAAAACCGATGGGTGGGGACAATTGGTAACATGGCTCAACATCGTTCTTGATGATGGATGGAGCAGATGCATTCACTTTTTGTGACTTATATTACCCAATGAAACTATTTTGTTCTTCGTTATTACCATTACAAATATGTTAAAGTTGTTGTCGTAGTTTCTATGTGTTCTCCAAGCTTTTCTCTGAAATTCACTGAAACGAGATATTAATTGGAACATTCGGTAAAAAGGAGTCTGTCACACTGTTTGCCTTACGTCAGATACATGACTTAACACAACTGATTCTCAATTTTATCTAGATTGTTAGTAAGAGATATATAACTGTTCCTTGATTGCTGATGATGCTTTAAAAGAACAATATTTCCATAAATGTGTATTTTAAGTACGTGAGTAATAATGCATGTTTGTGCAGTTGTGTTAGCCCATGACAAATATGCATGGAATAAGTTTTATCTGTGTAGAAAGACGACAAATTTATACCGTCATTCCAACAAAATCTGCTGATTATAATTTGAAGGGAGATTAGGAACTTGGCGGTAAATACGTTAACAAAGCTTCTTAGTCCTTTATAAAAAAACTAGCGTCGTTATGCTCCTTACTGTTTGACAGTCGGATTTTCGTCTTTCTGAGAGTTGGCATTATTGCCACTTCACTTAGCCGACTTCGCATCCCTAGTGTGATTCCCATCGTCACTTTCAATAGCACTTGATCCATTATTATTATTTTTTATTCCTTCGCGTTCCCAGTGGGACACAGGGCTTTAGCCTAGAGGCTTGAAGTTTCTGTAGCAGTGTTTATTTTTACAGGATGGGGTTGCTGGCCTCATGCCCAACGTTTCCTCTTTACCAGCTTTATTACTGGCTTAGCGAGGTAGAGGAGTGCGTCAGTCGGGGATCGAAACCCGGACCATGTGCATGGTCGGCGAGCGTCCTAACCGCTATGCCACGGACGCACGATCCATTATTTCCACATCTTTAAATACCCATCGAAATTTTCCACATCAGGATAATAAGTGTTTAAATCATTCATGATTTGCGCCACTTATCGTTTATTTTTATTCATGAATTTATGTTTGTGAAGTCTGAAAGAGCTACTAAATTTAAGTATTTCATAATCGAACCTTAACCCTTCTACTGACATTCTTTGTCTGCATTCAAAAGACCGGCATCCAGTTATTCATGGTATATAGTGATGACTGATCGATGGGTGCAAGTTGTTACATATCACTAGCGTCACCCAATAGTGCTTGCTAGCCAGATCAAGGTGATTTAAACAACAAACTGTCGTTTCGCTCATTTTTTCACGGAGTCCATCGGCAATGCACGTGGTTTGACTCAGCTCGAAGAGCCGAATCAGTTGAAAACAGCCGATTTCTGGCTAGCTACTCGATCGAACTGGCAATACATTAAATCGAATATAATGTTTGCAGATTACACAATTCAAGTTGAGGTTTTATTACAGTTTCCTTTGTTTTGTCCTCTGTGCTGAGACAAGATAGGCACACCACTGCGGAGAGAAACGGTCGTTCTGTGTTAAGAACACTTCGATCTGGCTACCAAGCACTACTATTTGATATTGGTGGTATCTGGCTGCTCACATTAATCACTCAGTCACTAATATATACCATCAGAACTAAGAATACTGTATTTGTTAAATCTAGACTATAAAGAAACACTTAGTGGAAGGTAAAATATTTACTGTGCATTTGTGCTTGCTTTCTTGATTGCTATTTATGGCATCGAACAAATCACATTTTGTGATTTGAATAATTTCATTTTCCAAAAGAAACTGAGGCGAAATTTTCACCTCGAATTTTCTATAACCTGCAGACTTCGGATTTAATTTGCAATTCAGGATTTTGACATTTTCTTAATTAATCCGTCTTTTTTGTTTTGCATTATCAGAACTTAAATGTATTTCTCACATGATTCAACATATTTTAGCATTTCAGTCGACTGAAATCAACCTTTTTTAACCCACTTCACTGAAGTGCGTTGTGTTTATTTCAATACTTATGAGTAAACTTCACCGATCATGCATTGTGAACTCGTGTTAGACTTTATAATTTGATGAAGTGTGTTGTTAGGTAAGGAAGGGAAATGAATCGATGAGGTTATGAACTTGATTAGATAGGGATGGCCAGAACACGTGCTACGCATGTTGAACGACTGCCTTCTTTGTTGAACAGTTTTATGAGACATAGGATTAGAATGGTGACTTTGAAAGTTTTCATGAATCGTTGGGATGTTTGATTGTTGGTTTGAACCACGTAAAGTAGTGTAGAATACGTAGGCTCTCTTAGAACTAATTACTTTTCAGATTCTAGCTGATGTAGCCAAAAATCTTTAATGTCTCATTAAACATCTATGATCTCTCCTATCCATTCGATTCTCTCTATTCTTCCTTAGATATTTTTCAATTGTTGTTCCTTTGTGTATCATATAAATTGTGGCTATATGAACTCCTACAGTTTTCTGCAAAGTTCTGCGTTTAGATTCAGTCGGTTAGTTGACTGTATCTGGCATGTTGTTCGACTGTTTATGTCTATTTCTCAAAGTCGTTTCAGAATTCATCTTAACTTATCTATTTGAATGACTCACTAATATTTCGGCACACCGTCAGGCTTTTAGTGTAATTGTGCTTTGTTTTTATGCATAATTTAGTTTACTCTTCTTGTGTCTGATTTCATTTCCCATCCTCAAGTAGTTCACTCTATATCTTAATGTGTTTATCTTGTCAACTCCAAAGACGACTTATAATGTGTTGTGTTTACAGAATGGTTTTATTTTGAAAATAGTCGTGTATTTTAATATCGTCTTTTGTTTATTGAACAGATGAAAAGAAATCAGTATCAGAAATTAAACGTGTAAGTGCAGCTTTTGTTTTCCGCTTTCTTAATCATTTTATTTCTCATCGTTAATAATCTTTGAATCCTGAAGGTGATAGTAAATGGTTATGCAGCATGCTAGCATTGATTGTAGAGACTGTGATAAGGCGAGTAGGTTGTAATTTTAGATTTTTCTTTCTCTCTGTTTATCACTCACTAGCTTGTTTAAGCAGATAACATTTTCATTTCGTACTTGAAAGCAAATGAATTCAATTTGTCCACATTATTTCTGTTTTTTTATCTGATATTTAAGTTATTTCTCGTGTCAAAATATTTCATAGTTGTTTTTCATTGGTGGAAAAGGGTGATTAAGTGGTGCACAATAACTGAGGTGAAAGAAGCCTTAGATGTATTTTTCTGATTAACTGAATGACTGACTGACTAAAGAGACGGCTGACATTTCCGCTATTCTCTTCACCTATTACACAATGTTCTCTTAGGATTTTGTGAATGTTGTGAAATACCATCCGATTATTACCAAGGTAGTATTGTCTATGCAGTTTGATTGCACTTCATTCAGGTGTATGTATGAAGACTATCGAAAATCTCTCAAGTGTGTACCGTTTTCAATAACTGCATAGTAATCTTGAAATATTATTGGTCAAAAATCAGTTCATATAAACACTTAATTTTAAGGGGAAACTGTCTTAACTGGAATTCTCGACGATAATGTTATATTTTGTAAAATGCTATAACATTGACTTTCCTTTACAATATCATGGAGGAAAGGTTACCTCGTGAAACTACCAAAGAAGGGAGACTAAGGACTCCGCAAGAACTGGCGAGGAATCATGCTCCTGTCGACGCCAAGTAAAATCCTGAGTCGCATCATCCTGAAGAGAATAAAGGACGCACTGGATACAGAACTCCGACCAGAACAAGCTGGATTCAGGAAAGGTAAATCATGTTCTGATCAAATTGCTACACTACGCATCGTCATCACAGAACAAAGCATGGAATGGCAATCAAACCTCTACGTCAACTTTATAGACTTTGAGAAGGCCTTCGACAGCATTGACCGCGAAGTAATTTGGAAACTACTCGAGTACTACGGCGTACCCCGAATATTCATCAACCTTATTCAACAGCTGTACGACAACAGCAAATGTCAAGTAATCCACAACGGAAAACTCAGCAAGGCGTTTGGAGTAAACACAGGAGTCAGACAAGGGTGCTTACTATCACCAATGATATTCCTAATTGTGGTGGACTGACTGGATTATGCGTCAGACAGTGGGAAACGAGAAGACAGGGATATCCTGGACCGACGTGAATAACCTAGAAGACCTGGATTTCGCGCGGTGATGATTTATGTTTGATTTCACACAAAATCGAAGACTTACAAACGAAAACCGACAAACTGGTCGAAGAAGCAGCCGGCGAAGACAGGACTCCAGGTGAACATAGACAAGATGGAGGTTCTGAAAATAACCAACCAACAACAACAGCAGCAACATCCAGCGCTAATCACCATCAACGGGAGGGATTTGAAAGAGGTCACTTCATTCACTTATCTAGGGAGGGAGCATTGTCTCAACTACAGGAAGTCGGAACGGACGAGGATGTCAAATCGAGCGAGAATCGGGAAGGCGAGTGAGAAACACATTCATCAACCTGAAATCAATCTGGAAATCTTCGTCACTCAGCCAACACCAACAACAAAATTCGGTCGGATTTTCAATACAAACGTCAAGTCAGTCAGTTCTTCTATACGGATCAGAAACTTGGCGGGTCACAAAGAATATTTCCAACAGCCTGTTGCAGACATTTATTAACAACTGTCTTCGCTGGATCTATACTGAAGATCAGATGGCTGGAAAGAATCACCAACAAGAAACTATGGGAACAGACAAAACAAGAACCAATCGCTCAACAAATATGCAGGAGAAAGTGGAGATGGATTGGACACTCGCTGAAGAGGCCACCGGGTGACATCGCGCATCAGGCCCTCGAGTGGAACCCGAAAGGGAAGCGGCGTGTGGGACGTCACTGCAAGGGTGACATAGAGGAGATCGAGTGAAGAGGAGTTGAAACAGTGTGGACTAACATGGATGCAGGTGAAAAGTCCAGCAAAAGACAAAAGCAAGTGGAGACGTGCAGTTGAAGCCTTATGTTCCACTAGAAACCCAAGGGAACAATAATAATAAGGCATCAAGTGCAAGTGACAGCCTGCAAAAACTTTTCTGATTAGTTGTATTTTGTTATTTTTGTTGAGTTCTGAAAGGAATATAGGGTTTCAAGCCTTAAGCTTTGAAGTTTCAGTGTCAAGTGGTGTTATTCTTTCTTACGGTGTGGAGTTGTTAGTCTCATATCTGAACTTCTCTCTTTGTTGTGCTTACTACCAGCTAAGAGGGGGTTTAGGCGTGCGTCGATTGGAAATCCAACCTGGGACCACATACATGGTTGGCGAATGCTCTACCTTTACCCTACCTACGTAATGTTCGGTTGTAAGTGAAGTAAACTGTCTACATAGGAAGTGGTTTTTTATTTTGGTCAGCTGGCGAGAGATTGAGTAGTGGGTGTGATTACTGTTTGTAGGAAAAAAAAGTTAACTTGTTTTCTGCCAATTATTGATCTGATCACCCCGTGTTTATCGGAAAAAATCCACATTTTTTGAGGAAGTGAAGACTGAATAAACACTTGATGCAGAAAAAGTTGGTACCATCACTTAATTCGTTGGCTTCTCATCACCTGTGTAAGGCGTAAAGAAAGTATTGGGTTTATGTACAGAACGAATTTAATAAACTTGCAATTATTACGTGATTTCAGTTGATGGGAGTCTCCAAACTAAAGAAACAGTAGTACAAAAATTACGCTTATATAGTTTATACGCAAAGAGTTCAGGTTTGAACATTGTATTTTGTACCCTTAATAGCGATTAACCAGTGTGTTATTTCAAGAAAGCAGTCACTCAACGGAATTTTGTAGCTTCATATCCTGAAACTAAAAGTTTGGGAGTACCAGTGAATTTCGACTCCTTCATCCGAACTGATGGACTCAAGGGAACTGATTCCAGCAAGCTCTGGGCTTAAATACAAGTGATTTATGCTCAAATGCAAGCTAACGAAAATTTCTCGCAACGGCCATGTACAGTAGCAGGTAACAAAAGCCAAACATATGGGAAGAGCATCAGCACTAGGTAGCATTAGATTACCGTTTAGGCTTATGAGGCAAACAGGCAGTAGAAGACACATGATAAGCGAAACAATCTTCGCGAAGAATTACATCTCAGATTGGAAAAGTGGAAGGTTGGAGGGAACACTGAGGAGCAATTGAACAAGCCTAAAGGTACGCTTAGTTCTCCCAACATCTAACACTTGTGAATGTTGCCATTGGTCCTGCAACCGCAACTGAGGTTGTAAAGGCTGTCTCAAATCTAGCACCAGACAAAGCAGTGGAATCTAGTGGAATGACATCGGAGATGTTCAAGGACCGTGGTGATGAACTGTTGTCTAGGTTAACTAAAATATTAAATAATTTTTGGGAATCAGAGGTAATTCTATTAGACTGGTGTAAATAATTGATAATTCCAGTTTTTAAAAAGGGAGGCAAGTCCTTCTGTAATCATGATAGAGTGATAAGCTTAACTAATATAATATCTAAAGTTCTAGGTTTGGGAAGAACAAACCAGGCTCTAGGCCAGGTCACCTGCCATACTTCTTGACTTGAAGGCTGCATTTAACTCTGACTGATTAGTGTTATGGCATTATTTGGGTGTGGTGAGAGTGCTGAGAAAGTATGTCACTCTGATCAAAACACTCTATTCGACTTCATACGGGCGTTAATAAATGCAGTCCTGTAAACATTTTGGACGTAAATCTGAGTATGTTTGGCTCGCGATTTTCCTCTGTCAAATGTGGGATGGTGCTCCAGGAATACTTCTCCATGACTCTTAGTTTAAAGGTAGGAATACAGTGGCTGAACGTATTGATTACTTGACGTATTTGGGAAGTTTCGTGTGGTTTGATGCGTTAATTGATGAGTGCGTCTCGTTAGGGATACAAACGGCTGGTGTGGGATTCGCTAGGTTATATCATCTCTAGCATTGACGTGATATCCAACTACCGATGAAAGGAGGTGTTTACTGCCAATCAGTTCACTTTGTCCTTCTTTCTGACTGAGACATTTCTATTAAAAGTGGAATATATGAAGAAGTTGGTTGTCTTTGACGATGAAGTTGCTTTGTGTCTGGCGTCAGATTTTATAATTTGATGAATAATATTAAGGTTAGACGTAGAGTATGTTAGGTAAGGAGGGGAAACGAATCGATGAGGTTATAAACTTGATTAGATAGGGATGGCTAGAACACGTGCTACTCATGTTGAACGACCACCTTCTTCGTTGAACAGTTTTATGAGACATAGGATTAGAATGGTGACTTTGAAAGTTGTCATGAATCGTTGGGATGTTTGATTGTTGGTTTAAGCCACATAGAGTGGTGTAGGCTGCTTTGCTATGCTCGTCGGAATTCTGGCTGTTCATGAAATACCTCGAAACCGTTCTCGTCAATGTAGTTGCAATCACTCTTCACAGTCTCCGAAATCCATTAAAGCGTCATGTTTTTCCATGTTACTATTGTTCATCCTGTACTTTTCTGCTTATCATAGTCCTTTTAAGTTGTTTTTGTACTTTCCCTACTTTTTTGTGCTTTATGATGTATGACAAGAATCTTACCTTTCCTTTTGCAACTTTCAGCTGGTTTTACAAGATGGTATGAAGCAGTATGCAGCTCGATTATTTGATGCTATGCGTCATAGTGAAGCACTGTTCCAAATCAGTCCTGGGATAGGTAATCAAATCTTATTCATTGTTTTATTTTGATTTTGATGTGGTTTTGTTCTCTGAGCTGGATGGTTAGTCTGCGAAGCTTTCATCACCCTACTGGGTGACATCTTCAGCGCATACTTAAATTTGAATTTTATCTTAATTTTTACTATTATTATTTATTATTATTAATTTTATTTTAATTTTATCTTGTGAATTGAAGAACACTCCAAATATATGCATCTGCATACATACCCACATGTACTTTGCCTTCATGGTAGTGCATCGCCTCACCCCGTTACAAGAGTGTGATATTGTAGATTTCCGTAAAGAATGTGTTTATACGGTATTGTGTTACCGATGGTGTAGAAGTTTTTCTGTTATTTTTGATGGATTTCACTATCAGTAGTATATCTCTGTAATTTGTGGATTGTCAAAAATCATAAACCGAAAGATGATGGAATTTTTTGATGCAGATATGAAATTGTCCTATTATTAACTAAACTTTGACAAATTTTCTGTGTTGAATAAAGTGTAGTAATTTATTCGCTTAACCATGGCACCATTTAAAGCTTAAACTAACATGACTAATTGTTTCTCTTATCAATATGAAGCTGAAGTGTTGATCCAAGAAGCCTCGTTTAAATTGATTTTGGAAGAGGCAAAGGAAATATTCTTACAGAATTGGTTATCATATCGTCAGTCGTTCGATCAAAGTTTAAGATTGAACAACCCTATTTTATTCAATACTCCTAGATGGCGCGCAAGAAAGTGGTACCGTGCAAGACAAGAATATCTTCAGGTAAGGTTTTATAAGTTGAACCTGAAAGTCATTGTCTACTTTAAAACCTATCATACTAGGTATTCTGATTTGACAATTCTATAAAAAGACTGATTTTTATTCGCTTCACCTTGTTCACAGTGGTTGGCTTGTTGAGTCCAGCAATATGAAAGTGGCAATATTTTTCTCCTGATACGAATTTAAAACAAGCACCGAATATTAATAAAGCGCAGGATCTAATGAATTCATCATATTTTGGTAGAACTTTTCAGCTGAATACTCTACATTCAAGGACATATATACATATATACTGTTGTAAATACATTGAGAGATAAGACTGATAGGCAAATAAACTATATTGAATTAATGATGCAAAACGACACGTGTGAATGTTTTCCAGGTCATGTTCGAATAAATAAGGGAAAAGGAGTATGAGAGATTTAAATTAAGATAAAATGAATTACGGTGCCCAGTGGCTGATTGGTAGATGAAACTTGTCTTGTAACCGGAAGGTCCTGGCTTTGAAGCCTAGTGGGGTACGTACTGCCGATGAGTCCCAAACTAGGACGAAATAGCTATCCACTTCCCCCTGGTTTTCAGTGGTTCTCTAACTGGTATCAATCCGTGGTCTAAATTGAAATCAATTGCATCACTTCAATAAACAACTGGTCGTCAGAGAAACAATTTAGACGTATCAAGATTTGCCAAATGAGTAATATTAATGACAGTAATAATAAAAATAACAATAATAATGTTGAAACGATATAAAACTTGGGCACTGTGGTAAAGTATAACTCCATTATAGATAAGATTTTATTTTGATAAATCACGCAGTGTTATACAGTAATATTAACTGATGACGTTTCGAGCACAAACTATTTCTCGTAATCATGTCACTCATACAACTTTTTCCTCATTTATATACATTAGTGAAATTGATTAGATATGTATATAAATGAGGAAAAAGTTGTGTGAGTGTGAGCAATAATTTGTGCTCGAAATGTGATCAGTTAATATTACTGTACGACACTGTGTGATTTAAAAAAATGAAATCTTATCTATAATGTTGAAACGATTAAGATAATACTACTGATAAAAGATAGTTGTAAATGAATCGGGAATAATAATAAGAGGTAGAATAGAGGGTTAATAGTATTCATAATAATAATGGCTGCTAAGTAAAACAGTATCCATGGGAGATTCAGAATGCCAACTATTTCCTTTTGTATTCAGAGATCTGGTTTATAAACTCTAATTGCACAAGCCTCCGCAAAGACAAGCATCTTCCTATTTCTTTGTCTGCTGACATCAGTGAATGCCTTTATAGCGTCAGTATCTTTTCCGTAGTCCACAAGGTGCTTTGTTATTGAACTTTTTGGCAGTTTTGACTTCAGTTGTTTTCAACCACATAGGCAAATGCATCATCATGCGAGTAGACAATCACCTTTCTGTATGGCCTATTTGTTTGCTTTCACAAACAAACTCAGATTCATATACGCAGTTTGAAACATCGAGAAGTGGCGACTCGTCTTTCCCAGATTGTTGAGACACTCGCTTGGTGGCATTAGGGAACACGAGTTTTGCAGCATAGTAAGTTCTCTTGATAACTTTGTCGAGTCTTGGTTTGACTACACCTAGTACATCATCTCCTTTGAATAACTAATTGATATAGACAGATTTCTTCAGAAGTGTTTGGATAGTTTTACTGGGGTTCATTTCTTTAGAGTGTTTATCAGTGAACTTCTCGGGTTATCTATTCTTAGATAAAATATTCTTCAGAGCCTTTATATCATGTTTAATTCTACTGTCACAACAAATTTTTCGTGCTCTATTGAACAGTGTTCTGACTAAATTCTTTTTTATCCCGAATTGAAACAAAACTCTTAAAATGTGTGTACTGTCCTGTCTATGAAGTGTTTGAAATCGTATTAAATATTCAGCGAAATATTTGTCAGCTTTTTTATTTCGATTTTGTTGTATTGTCGTTTGTGATTTAGTATTTGGTGTATTTTGTTCAGTGGTGCATGTCGATAATATCTGGTAGTTGGCTATTGTCCTGAACATGTTAGTGGTACAACTTGGTTGATTTAATTAGATTGAATGAAGCCCAAATTCCGGTTTCTTCTAACTGACTGGTTTGTCATTGTGAGCCCACAAATTCTCTAACAATAATAAAAGCTTTATTCCAAACAGTATTTTTGGTACAAATATGGAATTTTCAGTATATGTTACTGAATTGCATCTAATTCGCTCATCACAGGGGTAATGAATAAAACAAGTCACTTACATTGATGATATGAATGTGAGTATAATGTTTCATTAAGTGAAAATATTAACAATAATATAATAGTGAAAAAGATAGAAGTGGTCATTTACTTAGTTTTTAGCAGTTATTTAGTGGTGTCCTCCCTTACACTTTTGTCGTTAGATAAAATGTTTGCCCAATAAAGCACACTTACACTTAGTGGTCCGAGCATATCATCTTCCATAGTCACTTCCAGTTTCACCTGATGAGATGCGAGGAGAGAGTCGTGTGTAGAGAGGATGTTCAAGGTCTGACAAGATAATGTTCGCTAATTCCTCGCATCAGTCCATATGTCTATCTACAACAGTATAAATGGTTTGGTTTAGCGACACCCCACTCGCCCTACTGACAGTCTTTAGTGACCTTCACAACGTAACAAAGTCTTCTCTAAGTAGCCCGGGAAAGATTAAGGCAGAACAGTAAAAATCATAGGTAGAATACAAGAATTAATTTGTTGTAGGGACTAAGTGATAACAAATTATCTTAACTTCCTTACGTAGAACGTTAGATTATGATATATCTTTGTAGTTGTAAGAAACTTCATCATTAAAATTACTGTTCAACACTATGAGAATTTACCAAAATAAAATTTTTCCATAATGGTATTCAACATTCGATTTAGTTTCAACTTTTTTGCCATCTACGATAGTGGAACTATGTGAACTTAACCAGTTCATGTGAGTCACATTTGCATCTGAAAGTGAAATTAACAACCTGACATTTCGAGGGATTTAGCTTAAGACCATTCGAGAAGGACCACTGACTAATTTCTAGTAAAAAGTTATTCACATTTTGAACAATCTGACTGCGAAGTAAAGGGCAGAAAAATAGTCAGATCATCGGCATATTTAACAATATTGGCTTCATCAGAATGAGGCAAGTCATCTAAGAGGAAACAAAACAAAAAAGGAGAAAGAACAGCATCTTGAGAAACACCAACTGAAATAAGTGAAGCAATGGAGGTTTTCCCACTGTAAACAGTGTACTGCTTCATATCAGAAAACTTAGAATGCCACCACTTATTAGTCCAGCGTTCTGCTTTTATCGCAGCAAGCTTGTTTGACAAAAGAGGCCTAGATACAGAGTCAAAGGCAGATGTACAATCAAGGAAGGCACACCAAACATATTTGACACATCTATCTAAACTAGATACAATATTATGACATAAGGTGATAGCGGTATCTAAAGTACGCCTGCTATGTTTATAAGCAAACTGTTTAGGATCATTAAAAGCCTTTAATAAAGGTTCAGGGTTAAGTAAAAGCAGTTATTCCACTATTTTTAAAAAGGGTGAAGTAATGGCAATAGGTCTAAACTTAACATATGGTTCACTTGGTGATTTAGAAACAGGGACAATTTCGGTATCCTTCGAAGAAGCAGGCAAAAAATGATTCATTAAAAACACCAGTGAAAGGACAACATAAAATGTCTGTGCAGTTTTTGAGGATAATCCAGGTACACCATTTAGACCAAGAGACTTGGTTAGTTTTCAAGGATTTGAGACACTTCAGGACGTCATTTGTATTAAAACCGGAGAAGCAGTCGTTATTCACACTTGCAGCATTAGAAATAATAATACTATCTGCTGGACAACTTAGGAGGAACTTACTAAGCGTACCCGCACCAACTGAAGAAGGGTCATTATTCATTTGCCTATCACCGTTGATTTTCTGAAATAGCTTCCACATATTTGATAAGGTTTTGCATGCTAAGAACTTTCGGTTACCGATCATATTTAATTTCCGTACTTACTCAATTTAAATTTTTCAGTCTCTTAACACTAAGATTATCTTTCATTTTATCTGTATCCTTCACTGAAGCTGGTGTCCCCCAAGGTGCTATACTCTCCCCACTTTTCTTTTCTTTCTTTCTACATGACTTACCATCTTCAGATGACATTAATTTTCTTAAATATGCTGACGACCTGACTGTATCTTTGCCTGTCAAATGTCTAAGCGACTGCTCCGAACTAAATGGCTTTTTATCAGAAATCAGCCAATGGTCCAAGGAAAACGGTCTAACCTTAAATCCCTCTAAATGCAAAACAGTCAATTTCACCTTTAGGCATAAATCTGACCTAAACAAACTGGTTAACACTCACGAGGTGTGCAACATAGATGGTACTGAAATAGAAACCAAATCTGAAATTAAATATCTTGGCGTCATTCTATCTGCCATCTTACCTTCTACATCAAGAAGTTAAAATATTCTGGAATAACCCAACCCTTACTCCTACGCTTCCTTAACTTTTGCATCCCGCCTATTATTCTCTATTGTTCCCCATTAGTTTCTCCAGGGCTATTGAAGAAAGACTATACCTTATTACGCAGGATGTTAAAGGTTGTCAGCAGGGTAAGCAACGTGCCACTTAACCAGTTTATTATTATTCTGGTTGACAGGCACTTGGACTCATGTGAAAAATGGGCTAAATCCATTTTATCTAACTCACACCACCCTCTTCATTCACAACTCTCCCCTTGTATCTCATGAGGCAGAGCCAGAAGCCTATATAGGAGACTATATCCTCGCACTAGCAAGTACAAAAACTCAACTATACCCTACTTTTCTCGTGTTCTGTGCGATAAAGAAAGCATTAGGCGTGAAACCTTTAGCTTATTAAATAGTCAGTAGAACAATTAGACCTCGTCTTTCCAACTCATATCGTTTATAGGTACGACGTTTTCTTTCTTTCCTTTATTTTCTTTTTTTTTGTTAAGTGCAACTTTGTTTCTTTCTTCCTTACAAACTCTATTTAAAACATTTTTCTTCGTTCTTTCACACTCCGTATATCTTGACCTTTTTGTTACCGCTTACACCAGTAAATATGCTAGCATCTACTTTTCTAACACCTTCAAACACTCTGTTCAACTTTGGCTTTGCTACCTACATGCCAACAACTAACTGAGATTACCCTTAATCTATGTATAATTTTAATTATAGTTCATGTACTAACTGGATGCAATACTGTAGTAAAATGCTGAGAATTCTATTCTGTATCACATACTGTTTTGGAATAAAACAAATTATTATTTTCTTGGCGAAGCTTTTTGAGTCGAGGAGAGGAAAAAGCGGTTAAATCTTAAGATCAGTGTCTCTTTTGGACACCAAACATCAAGATAGAATTTGAGAATAACATGTTTTGTTTGTGATTGTGTGATCTAGAACTTCTTCAGTAAATAAGTTTCAGTTTGTATCTTTTAGTGGTGTAAGACGTGGCCACGTTAAGATATTTTCACTACACTTTGGACGTTTAACTAGTACAACCGAAATAATACTTTAATTTCTGTTATTTATCTTAGTCTTCATCTAAATTTAGTGATAATGCCACAATAGTTAATCTTGTCATTAATGTTGCCTAACCAAATTCAGCGTCATTCACTAAACTCTTTTATAACACTCCATAACATTTTGTAGATTCGATTCATTATAGTTGAAGCATTCATAGCCTGAGAGGTTATATATATATATATATATATATATATATTCTTGATACTACCTTGCATGTGTTTATCATATGAAAGTCTGTCCAGTATTTGTATAAATATTTTGGTATTTGTCTTCTCAATTTCTTTTAGGCTCATAAATTTGATATACATGAATATACTTTGTCGAAATGTGTTCTGAGTGGATTGGAGCAGCATGCTTTTTTAATTGGCCGTGATTTAACATTTCTCAAAGATGTAAGTGGTACTAACCTCCAAGTTTCAGTGACTTTTCTTTATTTTGTTGTTAAAAAAACGTGTTTGCAGTTTTAGCCTACAGTGAGACACGTAAAAGAATTACATGATTTCTTGGTCATAGTAGACAGAATCACTAGATATACCGATGATTCGTTCAACTATTTTGTGTGTTGTGAATATTGTATCAACTAAGCATGTGATTATTCGGTTGTATACTATCTTCTCAAAGTACATAAATAACTTGATTATCTCGTTTTTATGGACTTGTTCATACTTAGTTTATTCAAGTTGTCACATCACGTTAAAGTGAAGAAAGGAAATGTAATAAAATCTCAGAGGATGGGAATATTTGGGTGAAGTGTATTGAGGATTTTCAGAATCTGGATGCCAACTAGGAGTTAACACACCTATGTACTTGTGAACAATTTTGAACCAATAATCATGTATCATTAAATCTACCTATGTAGCTCCAAACAACAGCCATGTTTTGTTCGAACCACACTGACCTGTATTCCAACGTAATCCAACATTGTTTGTTGAAAAGGACAGTGGTCCGGTATGTGTAACACATGCCCAGATATCTCAATCGATTAACTTTCCCTCTTTACTTATCACTGGGCTTGGTCATAACTTACCATACTGTGCCACTTAGCCGGATAGATTGAACAGGGGTACTTTTGGTTAAAAATGTCTGTTTTCATATTTTCCTCTCCCAACAGCTCAATCTCATAGACATAAAGTGTATATTCTGTAATGGCTATTGAAATCAGAATTTTATGTAGTGAGTTAGTTAACAGCTGGATCCTCCTAGTAAATAATGCAGGGAGACCTATTTTCTACTATGATTGACGATCTCCACTATTCCCATGGAATTATTTCAGATTCGAGGATTCATTCATCTTTTTTTAAATTAGATTTCATGATTAAAGAATCGATGAGGTTTCAGCGCTGATGGTGTGTTTCATTGCGATCCTTTCAATACAAAATTTCAGGCAACCAAAAGTGCTTGAATATCGTAATCACTTACATAAATTCATTGTCATGTTGATACACATTTCTTTCTGGCGTAAATTTATTTTATGTCGCCGTTCACCCAGTCAGTTAAACACATTAGTTGACTTACTTTTCAAGATGTATGCGGTATGCTTGTGTCTTTTATGTGAGGTTATCGGTAGTATTAGTTACCCCTCAACAGCTTCGGTAGTTTGTTATTGCATGTTCAGACTGTTTAGTTGCCTTATATTTATAATTTTACCGATTATCCATTTGCTTTATTCGGTATATAGGTCTTGTTTTCGTTTGGTTATTTCAGCGTGAATGCTTATTACGTGATAAAATATCAAAAAGTGCCAGTTTTCCGGACGAGGAGTTTGTGTTTCGGATTCCACTGAGATGTCTTCGAAATGTTTACGTTTATCGTGAAGATTTCAGTCTACCTAACCGCTATCAACTTGTAGATACAATATTGATTGGTCATGGTCCGGAGGAAAATTTGCAGAAACCAAATCAAGTCCCAGAAATTATTCGACATATTAAGAGATACACAAATCAAAACCGTACCACTGAATTAATTCCTTTAATGTATCGATATCAGCGCAGTTCATTTGTAATGAATATGTCAAAGACAGATGAAGAGGATACTGTTCAGTCTGTTCGACATTTCTCGTCACCTAGCACTGCAGTATCGAATTCAGACTTTCCACATACTTCAGGTTCTCCAAGTCATTATCATGAACCACTTTTGGGTACTATAAATGCGGCTGAGGAGGTAAGTTGCTAGCCAGTTATGTAATAACAAACAAACCAATCATTAGTGTCTCCGATTCAATGAAGTATACGATTTTGGATGGCTTTTTTGTAGTATGGCTTTGAAAGATATGTATTTATTAGTACTACAGTACAATGTGTTCCCCTGTACACAGTTGTGATAGGGTTACTGAAAGCAACACAAATGTTGAACGAGCAAAATTATTTGTTCGTGTAATGTGCAGACTAGTTGTTATTTGGGTTATGCATACAACTGTAAGGTATTCAAGTGAATTGGCTGACATTTTAAAGATGAATTATTTGAGACGGCCAGAAATACCTGTAAATATACTCAAAAGTTTTCAAATAACCTAACACTTTAAAGTTTATTGTTGGTGTGTATTTTATTCCTCCACGTTCCTAGTAGAACATTGGGCTTCAAGCAAGAGGTGTTTATTTTTACGGAATGGGATTGCTAGCCTCATGCCCAACCTTCTCTCTTTACCAGTCTTATTACTGGCTTAGCGGGGTAAAGAAGTGTATCGGTGGCTAGGTATCGAACCTCGAACCACATGCATGATTGGTAAGCATTCTACCGCTGTGCCGTCGACGCACAATTGTCTGTGCATATAAAAGTGGTTTACGCACAAGGTAAAGTGATATTAATTCATGCATACATTGAACCAAAAGGCATGAGCGAAGAATAGATACCACCACAGCCAGATGACCTTGAACCACCACAACCAGTCAGGTCTCTCAACATTAGAAATGATTGCTGTTCATAATTTCCTTTGCAAGTTGCACCCTGATTTAGCGGGATAGCGTTCGAGCAGGATTGAGATAAAAGTTAAGGTTAGGGTAAAAATTGCAACGAAGATTATGTACAGAATCCATTTGGAAATGCTGAACCACGTAACTATCACCACTGGGTTATATTTATCATAAAGTCTATCATTCATCACAATTAGTGGATCCTATATCTAGGACTCATACAAATTCGACTGAAAGATTTCGGAGATATCTGTAAAAATGGAATAGGTTTTGTGTCTATAAACCATTCCTATTAAAACTTGGGGTCTATCTTTGCAACACATTACAAATTCATTGATTCCTTTTTTGCTTCATGTTTATATATATATATATATATCCCGTAAATATACTCTTGTGTACTATGAATGCTACTTTTTACCCAGAAGAATATGGTTGGTCATTTCAAAGTCATTTGTGTAGGCTATTCTTTACGCTTGCCACTAAAAGTTTCAATAAATGACGACTGATCATTTTAATTGCAAGTATAATTTCCCTGAAGAAGTTCGGACCAGATTGCCGAACGAAACGTTGGAATTAATCATTTCAATTTCGCTGAGATTTTACAAATATAACTTTATAAATATAATTCAGCTCTGTTTATCGTGATGTGTCTTAGATACGTCTTTTCAATTGTATTTAGATAGAAACCCGTAAGTATTGACCATTTATCTCATTGAAGGAGATGAACGTATGAACACTACGCTAAAACTCAACTACTGCAATTCACTCATTATTCGTAGAAAACTTGATGTGCTGAGCTGTGAATAGTTCTAATTCTGTTACAACTCTAGACACTTTTGAGCTACCAGTTTGGTGAGTTTGTTTCTATCGGCCAGTGTCCCGGAATTAATGAACTGTAGTGCTTTAGGTGTGATTATGGGGTTAGTTGCAGCCTATAAGTGTCATAAATTGTATTACAACTAAATGATGAGCACAGGTTGATAATGTAGAAAACTTGTACCAAGTGAATAAATTGATTCATCCATTTTGAATTTTTTCAACAGCTTACGGGTTGTTGTTTTTGTTGTATTAGCTGATTCAACAAAGAGCTGTACAAGCGTTGTTTTTAGAAGGCTGTTGATAGTCTTAATCACTGGCACATGTATGTTCTTCCCGGTGTCGCTTTGGAAAATTTGAAGACGGTAACTAATGTTTATGAAATTACTTTTTTTTCATAATTGTGCGGCGAATTTTGCCACTAAAGATAATCTTTTTATATCTATAGGTGAATTACTCACGGTTTAAATATGTTATGCAATCTGCGTTGGTGTTGAAAGCATCAACACGTTATTTTATGTGGCGGTGGCTGGTTTTCTTTTTATGCACTTATTCGTGGCTAATTAGATCAATGCAATGCTTCTTTGTAAGTTTAATAAGAATTTGTGTCTAATTTATTCACAGTTTTCGATGAATGAAGTCTAGTATTCTTCTCACTAACAGTCAGTCACAATAATAGAATACATTTTAGCACACCAGAGTTGAAAAAAATGGAAGAAAGATACTTACAAACGGTATTCAAGAAGAATTGTTATCCAAAAAATTTCATCAAAAAGTGTTTAAAATCGAATGAAAGCACCAACAAAGAACCATCACCAAAGACCAAAAAGCAATTCATCCTACCATATATCAGAAACATCTCTGAAATAACGGCTAGAATAATGAAACCGTTTGATATAGATGTAGCACACAAACCAGCTGAATCGCTTAATTCCATCGTATGCAAACCAAAAGATCCGATAGAAAAGGGAGATAAAATTAACACCATTTACAAAATAAATCGTGTGAACTGTAACAAACATTACATCGGCCAAAGTGGGCGTCCCCTTCGAATAAGAATCCAGGAACACAAATCAGCCGTGAAAAGACATGATATAAATTCTTTAGTATCAATACATTCAGACGATCATGGACATCAATTTGATTGGGATAATGTCAAAATCTTAAACAGAGGAAACACCAAATGTGCCAGAGAATTCTTAGAAGCCTGGTACTCAAATGAAAACGCAATTAATAAACACGTTAATATAGATGAAATATACCAACTAATAAGAAGTAAATTAGGTGATCAGAAAGTTTAAAATCCCAATCAATAGAAAACGGTCAATAAATATCTAAAGATGGTTACCGGGAGACTCATGAAGAAATTTAAATCATTTCACTTTATCCTAAATACTGCACTGAAGATGTCGTCCAGAAAGACGATGGAAGTTCCGCAATTAAACCAAGGAGCTCAGCGAACACTATCAATTGCAAGTCAGTCACAATGTTCACTAGTTTTGGTAATCAGAGTAAACAGCTTTTAAGTAATGCTCTTGCATAGCATTGTGCATATCACAAGTAGAAATAAATATGTGCTGTTCATATCCATGCATTCACTGTTGGCAGTGGTTTGGTTTCTAAACAACTCACTCACCCATTTATCAGATGGTACCACTCAGGTATCAGGTTAATGATCGTTTTGCATCGTTCCTTATTTTATTTATTAATTTCCGCTCATCAACAGTATTCTGTCTCAGTAAGGAGAGAATTCATAATATTAAATAAACTGTGAAAATACTAGACGGTGTTTGATGTAACCAGTTTATCTAAGCTGGTATCATACTTGGACATAAGATGTTTGAAAATCCAATTAACTTGTATCGTACCCAGACGTAGAACATTGATAGTTAGGTATCAGTTGAATACCCTACTAGTAAACAGTAACTATTAGAACTACGTAAAAAGAGTAAGGAATTCTTGTAGGTAGTGTAATGTGTTTTAAAGTTATACCAGAAACCTCATCCAGTTAGTTATACTATATCACCGTGTGTTACATCAAATAAACTTGTCCTATATGGACGGGATTCATAAAATTCTATTTAAATGGTTAAATGTTTTAGAGTCATTTCTCATGAAATAGCTATGTAATCAGAAGTTAATTGATGGATGGTGACTAGCAGTGGAATCCAGGATGCGCATTTCATCAGCTAGATGTACCTGCATTCCGCAGTGAGTGATGATGTTCACACCTTTGTTCATACCTGTGTAATGTTTTCATTACTTTTGCTAGTTACAGATGAAATTAATTTGTTTTGATTTGGTTATGTTCTCTGAGTTTATTGGTTTTAATTACGAAGCTTTCGTTGTCCTTCTAGACAACATCTTCAGCACAACTTCTTTAATATGAAGTGAACTGATTTGAACTCTCCGGGAATAAAATTTATCCCTGACAGCAACTGTCGTGATCGGTTGTTAATTTAATTCTTTTTTTTGAATAAGAAAATATTCGTGTTAAAGTGGGGCGATAATTCCAGTAGCAGTAGAAGTATGTTACTATTATGGCTTCATTTACCTGGAGCCTTTATCATATTTCACTGACAGATATACGTAGCGCAATCACAGTTGCACATTGGTAGCCAATGTGACGTCGTGTTTTAAGTGTTTCAATACACATGCTGACTATGTATGCATTCGTGATAATCAAGCTTGATGAGAAAACGCTATAGTTCACTTCTTTTTTGTTTATGAATGTCTTATGTCTGTTGCACAACTTGGAAATATGGACTGTCTTTCTGGATTAGCTTTTGAAGTTACATTGTCTATATAACATCAGTATTGATTACCTCAGTTACTACTTGGGTGTGTTTCACCCATACTTGGCTGCTGGTTTCAAACAATATGCTTATATTTTCAGTTTTGGAATTCTTGGATTTCACTGTTGATTAGAGCGTTCGTTTTGCTCTTTTTGTTTTTGTTTTTATTTTTCTATCAGATTATCATCCCCTTCCAGTCATATTTCAGTTATACAGTACTGTTCAAGGAAACACCAATTTTTTATGTATTCAAAGTTGAAAAAAATTCTGTAAGCATTTTTCTAGGAGTATAATTCGTGCTTGATTTTAATAAGTATTCATTTTCTATTGTTTTCTGGAAAAATAAATAAATGTGTGCTTTCGTATGTGTTGTGTGTATTATTATTAACTCCTTTAGTTCCTAGAGGAACATAGGGCTTCAGCCACACTGCTTCATTGCATTCGGTTCTCTGCCGACATTTCCACCTGGCTCTACGGTTGCCCATAGTCTCTCATCTCCTGTTCACAAGGTCTCCTCCATGTCACCCTCGAACGCCCGACTCTTCGTTTCCCATTTGGGTTCCACTCGAGCGGGGTAGCCTTGTCGCGCGAAGTCGCTCAGTCATCTCAGTGTGTGTCCGATCCATGTCCATTTTCCTCTGCATATTTGCTGACCGATAGATTCTTGATTGATTCATTCCCAGAGTTTCCTATTGCTAATTCTTTCTGGCCGGCCGTTTGGTCTTCAATATGGAGTGAAGCCACCTGTTAATAAAATTCTTCAGCAGCCTGTTGGAAATACTTTTCGTGACTCACCAAGTTTCTTTCTTTGGACTGAGCGCAGAAAATTCGATTGATTTCGTGGTGATGAAGGCTTGTCTCGCCTTTCCAATTCTGCTATTGACATCCACATCGGTGCTTATTGCTTGTAGTTGAAACGATGCTTCCTAGATAGGTCAAGAAAGTGACCCCTTTCAAATTTCTTCCCTTAATAGTGATTGGTGTTTGTCGCTGTTGGTTAATTATCTTCATCATCTTCGTTTTCTCTTTGTTCACTTGAATTCCTGTCTTTGCTGTCTCCATCAGGTGGACGCCATGTCGCTTTGTATTTATCCTTGTGGTTGTACACACTGCTTCCAGTAACCAAATCATTGAAGATAATGAAGTCTGCCAAGTTCCGTCCTCATTCACTTAACTGAAAGCCTGTCGACTCATGATGAATTCTGTCCCTGTGTGATTTGCTCCCAGTGTTGAATTCATATCGCTCATAAGGATTTTGATGTCGCCATTTGGGATGTTATCCATTACTGTTTGCAGTCGTCTACTGAAATCTATTGTTCTCAGTTGTATGTAGGTGCGTGACATTGGCTAATCGTAACCTTTCTTCCTCCCTTTTCAATTCAATCTTAACAGCTGTTAATAGCCTAAAACCAAAAGTTAGTAAGAGCAATTGGATCTCTACCGCCTCATCCGAACTGATTGATGCAGGAAGACTAATTCTGGAGAGCTCCGATTGTGATGGGGGAGCGAAAGCTACTCAAACGCAAACTAACAAGAAGTCTTCCTAACGACTGTGAACAATAGTGGCCGACAAAAGAGAAAGAGACGGAGAAGGCATCGGCGATTGGTAACACCAGACAACTATCTAGACTTATCAGGGAGACAGCTAGCGAAAGTCAAATGATAAGTGAAACAACCTCCGAGAAAAATGGCACCATAATTAGCTTTCAGAATGGACGATTGGAACGAACGTTGAAAAGAACACTTTGAGGAGCAATTTAACTGACCTACAGCCACGCTCAACCTACTAATCATCCAACACCTCCGTGAATTGGGTATAGACACAGGCCCTCCGTCCCTAACTGAAGTTATTAAGGCTGTCACTAATGTGAAAGGATTCAAAGCAGCAGGACCTAATGGAATGATTCCAGAGGTTTTTAAGTGCAATGGAGACAGTTTACTGTTTGCGTTAACTAAGGTACTAGACAGCGTCTGGGAATGAAAGGTAGTCCAGTGTGGGTGGTGTAAGTCGTTGATTATCCCGATATACAAGAAGGGAGACAAGTGTTTGTGTGATAATCACAGGTGGATTAGCTTGACTGATATGGTATCTAAAGTTCTAGACTCAACAATCATTATGCGTAGACTAAGTGGTGCTTGGGAGGAAGAAACAGGAGAGAAGCAGGCAGCCTTTAGACCAGGAAGAAGGTGTATTGATCATATCTTCACCCTTCGACAGAGTGTGGAACGAAACATAGACATACTTACCGGTGGCGTCCAACAATCGTTATATTTCTTGACCTTAAGGTGACATTCGATCCTGTCGACCGAGAGATACTCCAGCGATGCTTGGCTGTGATGGGAATGGCGATAAAATACATAGCACTGATCACGAAGCTCTACTCGAGATCATGCAGTCAGTCAGCCAGGTGAGAGCTTACAGCGAGTTGTCATCTGAAGTGGTGACAACTAGTGGTGTCCGACAGGGAATGCCCACTATCCCCATTTCTATTCAATTTTATCATAGACGTACTAATGGACTTAACCCTAACTGAAAACTTCAGCGACTCAGGGATTGACTTGCAACCAGGGAATAATGTGGTCGACCTAGAATATGTAGATTATATAGTCGTTGTAGTTGAGGACTCTGAGAATATTCTGAGTCTTCTGATTACCTTGAGGAGCATCAGTCTTCGAATGTTTGGCACGCGATTCGTTCCCGTCAAATGTAAGATGAGGCTACAGGCCTGGACTACATTGACTGACACCTAGCTTAGAAATAGAGAATGAAGTGATAGAGCGTGTTGATGACTTCATTTGCTTGGGGAGTTGGATCAGCCCCAACGGGTTGATCGCTGACGAAATCTGAGCATGGATACAGAAGGCTCGTTTCGGATATGCCAGTTAACACCATCTCAGGTGTATACGTGATATCCGGCTGTCGACCAAAGGGCGTGTGTACTGCTCATCAGTTCGCTCCGTCCTCCCATATAGCTGTGAGACCTGGCCGTTGAGAGTGGAGGAAATGAAAAGGCTAGCTAGCTGTCTTTGATCATAGGCGTCTGTGTTCTATCTCCAGTGTTAAGTGGTATAATAGGGCAAGAAATATTGAGATGAGACATGTATCGAGTGCTAGGTAAGGAGGGAAGTCAATCGACGAGGCTGTGAAGCTACGTCAACTGAAATGGTTAGGACATGTGTTACACATGCATGCCTAGTCATCGCCTTCGTCGACGGGAAATGTTAGCTGACGGACATAGTATCAGGTTGGAAAAGAGTTATCAAGTTGCGGTCAAACGAATACATGGCCTCATCAGTCAATGAAATCCACAACAGTTAGTTTGAGCCACGTTGGGAGATGTAGACTTGAAGGTTGGGTTTCTCGTGATGGTAAAAACTGATGGGTGGGGACAATTGGTAACATGGCTCAAAATCGTTCTTGATGGTGGATGAAGGAGATGCATTCACTCTTTGTGACTTATAATACTGGACGAAAGTATATTGTTATTCTTTATTACTATTCCTTTTGTCTCTTATCCCTGTTTACTGTCTCTATTTTGCATTTCTTCCACCTTCTTCTATTGCATTGTGTGCTAAATGTGGTTTGGCGTTTTTAACTGCTGCATATTAGTGCAAAGTTCTGTGTTGAAAACTGTCAGGCAAACTGGATTGAATCTTACTATTATTATTCTACATTAGGTTTGTTCTCGCTGCGTAAGAACTTTGGCTTGCACTAGTGACATCATTATAGCTACTCACGACTTCAGTGCGCTTGTGGTTGTCGTCTTTGTGACCAGAGTAGATTACTGACTCTCCAGTTAATGATTTGGAAATTCTTGATCAATTCCACCTGCTCTCACAAATTTCTAGCACTTCTATACCTTATATTCTCATTACTTTTGCAACCTGGGCAACTTTCCCAGCTTCGAATATTGTTCGAACACCTGATGCCCGAATTCCTATTTTTGCTTTCATCGAAAGCAGACATATCGTCTGACTGGTTTCATTCAGCAGCCGTCGTCATTCCGTCTATCTGATTTGAGTGAAGAATAGGTTTGTTTTTCATATTTTTGTCCTGCTTTGAAATTTCTGTGGTGATTGGATTGTTTTTCGTGGATAGTGTATTTTCCCGGGCCTAGGACCGGCTAGGAAGCTAGTGAATTAATACACCAGTCGAGGTGTTTTTGTGAACATATAAAGGTAGTTTAAGCTTCATATTCTTCACGGTTTCCACATCCACATTTTATAGAGAAGTTTAGAAGATGTGTGAACATCAATTTTATGCACTGTCTCTATAGTGTTTCTCAGTAGGAGAGCTCGATTATCTGTTTTCACCGTTAATGGGTTCAGGGGATTCGATGTACTTCTGAAGCCACTTAGGGATGTACTTTGAAGACCCTATGTTTAAAAGCCGATGAATCCTCCCTATGTATGTGTGACCTTATGTACATTTAAATTGGGCGATACAGTGACAGATGACATTATTTATCCTATGTTTCAAGGGCTTAGGTGAATATATAGGCTTTACATTCTCAATTATCAGTATCTTAGCCGCATAAAAAGTTTTTCTAACAGCCGCATTCAACAATTGTCAAATTAGGAAGCTGCTTTGATCACCCATTTAGAGTAGCTTTATATAAACATCCTCAGTGGCGATTTAGAGAATGGGACTTGGAGTTCTGATCACTCTATATGTTCTTATGAGCTTCTCTAGATAATTATTATCAACCAGAACTCCTGTCAGTTTTCTTTCCTCATTCTTTGAGTCCTATTAAAGAGGCACCTCACCAGAGCTCCTTCATTATTATTATTATTTTATCTCTAACCTTCATAGAATTTTAAGTGAGTTCAGGGCAATCATGATCGTAAGCTTTTTCAGTTCAGTTCAAAAGGTAACTTAATCTGTTTTGCCATTTGGATCACTGGTGTGTGTGTGCTCTCAGGTTATAATGTATTACCCTGGATGATGTTATTCTTTTTATGATACATTCACTCACCAGTTAATGTGATATTATATTTTGCTCCCTAAAGCACTCTGATACTTAGGAGAAGCAACTTCTATTACAATTTGTATTTATAACGCGGTTTGACTCTACAGGGATTGTTGTATTTGCAGCATAATATGGCTGCAGGTTAGTGATCGTGAATCTAGTCTACATGTGTTTGAGAGATACTTCAAAAACCTCAGACAAAAGTTCAAGTTACACAACTTCATTAATTCTTTGTTATCTATAGAGAAGACTGTTTCTTGCTACTGCATCAGATCCTCTGATAATATGCAATCCCAAGCGTAATCATCATATTAGTTTACAATGAAAGCTGTTGTGGGCTTTAGGAATCATTATCTTAAGGTTATTGTTTATTTCTTTCCTTATTTCCTTGTACATCATATATATATTCCACTGTGTCAACCGTGCATCGGTATCAGAGCGGTAGAATGCTCGCCAACCACGCATGTGGTCCGGGGTTCGATCACCGACCGACGCACTCCGCCTGGCTACTAATAAGCCACTACTAAAACTGGTAAAGAGGGAAGGTTGGGCATGAGGCTAGCAATACTTTCCCGTAAAAATAAACACCACTTCTACCGAAACTTTGACTCTCTAGCTTGAAACCCTATGTTCCACTGGGAAAGTTGAGAAGTAATAAAAATGTATGAACCGTGTGGCATAGAATTAGTGTTAACGATTATGAATTTCACCACTGTCGAACGTATTCATTTTTATTGTATTAAATCCATCTTTTGTGTTTATTAATTTTCACTTCCTTTCAACTCAGGGTTACGTGTATTATGACAAAAAGCATTATGTGCACACTATAACTAGCTTCTTAAATCAAATGTGGTCTACAATGCATAAAATTCGTGAGAACTTTGACCATCGCAATTCATCAAGTGGGACTTTACGACGATATGTTAGGCGATCTGTTCATTGGATATGGATATTCATTATTCGTGGTTTGCTGACATCCATAATTGTAATAACTATCTGGCCTATATTATGTATTCTTTGTTCTACTGCTTCAATAATCGTTGGTTTAATAGCCCTACCAATAATACCATTGATATCATTATTTGTACATATACTTGGTATATTATTTTGGAATGCATATACACCCGGTAAGTTGAATCAACATTATGGTATTATTTGAACAAAGCAAAGAAAACACGTTAAGCAGAACAATATGACGTCAGTATATATATTACATTGGTTCATCTCGACTGCATGTAGCCATAAACAATTGGAATTTCAATGCAGAAAATATTCAACTACTTTAGTTGTCATAATTTATCATATTAGTGAAATATATTAATGTCACATGTTTAAAAAGCATAATAAAAACAGAATCAAGGTTGTTAAGCTTGTTAGTATGCATAGAAGAAATATTCTGTCATTAAGAGTGAGTGTTACAGACTGAATCGAGGTGCAAACTGGATAAACTACATATGTAAGATAAACTACCTTATTTCTCCTCTTCTCTATGCATCTATCAATTTGACTGCTCCTGTCGAGGTAGTTGCACAGACTGTACAGTTAGGCGTGTTTACCGTCGGATTTCCGAATACCATACTGCATAATGGCTAAGTAAGGCAGAAACAAAGTTCATTCATGGTTCTATACTGTCTTATTTCGTAGATTCAGAATACAAACTAATGTAAACAAGGCCTTCAAAGTCATCCGTCGTATGCCAACTAAGCATAATTTTACCTCAAGAGTTCGTTTATTAAGAAGCCTAACTTATGTATCCACAAGAGGCTGGTTCAGACACTATCTCTATCTCGCTGGCCATCAAGGTTTTAATGGTCCTGAATTTTATTTGATATTCTATTTAGTTATTACATGCTTATTATAACTTTTGTTTTTCTTGAACTATGGTAGTTCCATTGTGATCTTAATAAATCGATAGTATATATATATATATATATATATATATATATTTGTAGAGGCGGAAGAGGGAATAATCTAAAAGAATATTCCTTGCTCAAACTTACTTTTGTCTTTCGAATATTTAAGTTGAACAGAGGTTGAAATATAGTCGTATCGTGACAAACTTAAGGCTAGGATATCACATTGTCAAAAGAAAACATAACTTAAAATAAAAAGAAAATTTACAAAAGTAAAAGAACTAAAAGTTTATTGATAATCGTAAGGCAAGGCTAACAACGCTTTATTTCTGAATGCATAAACTGCGTTTTAAAGAGTTTGTTTGTTGGGATTTGACTTTTTCCATGTGTGATGGCGGATTGAAAACCATGGAGTACTGGACAGCTTTTTCGCCCTACTTTGTGATTCACCACCAGTACCCACGACCTTGCGAGTCAAGCTCATAGAGCCTTCAGCTACTGTGATCCGACTTAATTGTTCATGAATCTCAACTTATTCCAACCCAGCTGATAACTGCTACCTTGTCGTGGTGGTTGGGCTTGAATACCGTAATGACCCAACAAGCTAAACTGACTGGGACTCTGTTCCTGCAGGTCCTACCATGTCAGGAAGGTTGTTTGGATAGCGGTTAAACTAAAAGCAGTTACCATGGGGTACATGGGCTCCAGTATTCAATTGGATCAAATGGCGTATGAACCCATATTGGTCACCGTCAACCATGGGAATGCAGCTCCTGACGCTGCTCCGCTGCCTTGTGGATTAGACTCCAAGTCAAAGGCTCGGGGGTGGTCCTTTAAGAGAACCACCTGCTTCGGTCTGGGCGTCCGGGCAGTATCTCAGCCCTCACATAATGGATTGAATAAAGCAACAAACAATCAACGAAACTTATTGCGTGCTATTACGCGTGTTGCAGTTTCCTTCTTTCTTCCCTTTCCGATGATAGTTAACGAATACTGTTTGAACTTGTTAAGCATGGCTGTTTTCCTTCCAGATGAAGTTCTTTATCCGTTCTCTACTTATATATATATTTTTCCCTTTTTTTTCTTTTGATCTATGTCGTTTCATTATTATTGTGTGGTGCATCCTTCTTGGTGCCATATTGTACCAAGTTTTATGCGTTTAAATAAATAAATAAAACTTATACCAATTCTAGCCAGTGTTATCGGTATCGTGCTCACTCTCGACCTGATGGATCCTACTGGATTTCCGACTAGAACTTCAGGAAACTTCGTTCTGTAGCCGTTTTAATCGTTTAATGGTAATCGCGTAGGCAGTATATAGCAACTTGGAACTGTCTTGAACTTTAATTAAAGCTCGTGCATGTTACTTTCATTTTTAAATTGCACATTTGGCGTCAATAATTGTTACTGAAATTTATCTGACACCACTTTTGAGGCATTTACATGTAAGACCACATACCAGACATAAACAAATACACTCAAAGAATAATAGTATAATGGTCAAAAAAGCAATTTGTGTGTGTAAGCCTGTTTATTGAAGCCCTTAAGAAAATCAAAGTCGATGGATAGAGATTTTAAATGACACCGCCTAAAATCGATGGCAATGATACAAACATTTTACACCTTGTTTCTGTCTAAATAGCCATACCACACAACTATACTTATTTTACTCATTGTTCTGCTGTTCCACAACCTCTTCCGACCGCTTTCACCACTTCATTTTTGTTCATTTTATCTTGTTGAGTTCTACTTTTATGCCTCACTTCGAAACATGCTAGGTTGTGTCAGGTTCAACTTAAGTAGTGTTTGCTTGTTTGGCTAACTTTGTATATATGGTACTTTCAAATATGACTAGATGGATCGATGTATTATATATCTAAGTTTCAGCGTTTTGTTTGTCTGTCTGACATTTGCTAAATAGTGAATTAATTTTTCTAAGATATGTATATCATTCGTAAATTTTGTTTATCCAGACGTTTGAAAGGGGAAGGAAATTTTTACCTAATTTACCTACCGATGTCTATCACATGCAATCGAATGACATTTGAATTCTTTCGCTACTTTTCTCATTCCCCTCATGATATCGATTTTGATAAAAACTGAACATTAGTCATTTAGTTATCAGGTCTAGCCTTTACACTGTAGGTTATCAACATTCACTTTTATTTTACGTAACTGATTACTTTTCAAACATTTCGAAACCATGCTAGTTGAAGAGCGATCGTAAAGAAAATACGAAATAATATCTCTCTATATTTGTCTCCATATCTTAGTGACTTCTTTAAAGAACAGTAAAGCTCAGTGTATTTATTTGCCATAGTCAACTATCTCACTGTTAAGCTCCTCTTGTTATCCTGTACATCATCTGCTTTTACTTTCAACAATACTATCCATGTCAAAAGTTTAAGTGATATTTTTATTTTCATTGATTTCAGTACTTGGATCCAATCGTTACCTACCACTTTTCGAAATCATCTTTCATCAATTCCTACTGAAGACAGTTATCCAGTTTATAATCTGTACACTATGTGCATTTATCTTATGTCCTCTGTGGTTTCTAGTTCATCTTGTATACTCTTTAACCAAATATGTATTGTGTTCCTTATGGGATGGTTTTGTATTTCATATTATATTCAAATTAATATGTCATATACCGTGTAAAGAAATTTGTTCTATTAAGCGAGGTAATGATCCTGGTACTGTGTCAAATATCTGTCTCCTAGTGAGTTTACGAGATTATATTTTACATATAACCTGAAATCCTGTCTTTTTTTGCACAATTTTGGAGTGGGTACTATGCGCGTATCCTTAATTTTATTTGTTTGTTGCAATCATTGCTGTAGTACATCAGTTTGCTTTCTCACTCACTTCATTGGAACCTTTCCTACCGGCTCGCAAAATCTGAGTTATTGTATTATGATATGCCTACACTAATTTTTGCGTCGGTGGCTCAGCGGTACAGTGCTCACCAACCACACATATGGTACGGAGTTCGATTCCCGGTCACCGATGCACCCCTTTACCTAGCTGGGTCGGTAATGAGACCGGTGAAGAGGGAAGATTGGATATGGGGTTAGAGACCCCATCCTGTAAAAATAAGAACCAGTGCTACTGAAACTTTGACGCTCCAGCTTGAAATCCTATGTCCCATTTGAGACTTAAAGGAATAAAACATTTAAAAAAATAGAATTACACTAACATCTGCCTTTCTTAGGCAATTACGTAATCTTTAGCGTTCAAAACGCCATTCTATATGATAATTACTGTTTGGAATAAAGTTATTATTATTATTATTATTATTATTATTATTATTATTATTATTATTATTATTGTAAGCATACACCGATTTTTTGTTTAAACTTGAATTCTCTGGTTATTTATGTCAAAATTGTATATGTGCATAGCCTTAATCATGTCTTTGGGCTGTAAGCACCTGATGAGAAACTAACAAAGTAAATGACTGTACCATTTTATTCTGCACAAACTGTTTTTCTTGCTATCTATCGTCTACCCGTCATGATAAACATCATGAATATGTATCTCTGATAAGTACAAAAATATTGAATTTCTCCGGAAGTTTTTTTTAGCTGGTTCATTTTAAAAAATACACGTGCAAACTGATTTCATTTTTTCTGTGTAATTAGCTAAGTCATTACATTTCATTATCATTGCAAAGCAGTACACAAGACACGGAAGCCAAGGTATATTTTTGTTTACAAAACCGCTGTTTATATACATACAGTTTATATTCGTTAACCAATCACTGAGCGTGTGATCTTGGTGTACATCAAACGATATGAAATAGAATGTTCAAATAGATATACTGTATTCTGTCGCTTGTGTCGAATTGAATTGTGGGAATATTTGAGAATAAAATTCCGTTGGCATACATCGTCTGTATCACATCACCACACCACCATAAGAATTTATCCTAGTGTTTCATTCTCTTTTGTTATTCATCATGCGAACGATTCATGTATCATTTAAATGTGTTTAAGGTTTGTAGATGTCGGTTTACGCTTTCGACTTTAACAAGTACACTTTTAGTCAGCATGACGTAAAAGGGATTGTTGTGAATATTTAGTGATATATTGTATACTGTACCAATCTACTGCGTTCACTTATCATTTACCGTTTTACAGGCATTTTAACAATATCGCATAGAACGTTATTATTATTTTTATTTTACTCCTTTACGTTCCCACTGGAACATAGGGGTTCAAGCTAGAGGTTTGACGTTTCTGTAGTAGTGGTGTTTATTCTTACAGTGTGGGGTCGCTAGCCTTCCCTCTTTACCACTATTATGAGTGGCGTAGGGAGGTAAAGGAGTGCGTGGGTGGCCGGAGATCGATCCCTGGACCAAATGCGTGGGAAAGCTTAAGAATTCTATTCCAGTGAATTTCTTTTAGTTTACTTCCTTGTCAATACTCCTTTGTGACAATGTTGTTTATGGCAGTAGTAGTGGTGTAGTTTGTCTGTTACCTTGTATTTATTGTTCTTCAACCAAAAGGCTCGACCTGAAGACATATTAATTGTACTTAGTGTGCAACTGGAACGTTTGGAGTTGAATTTATGGAAAAGTCAAATGGAGTCTATTGCAAAGAAACCTATGAATGTGTATAAGTAAGCGAACCTGTAAACTTGTTAGATTGACTGCTTTAAAAAATATTAATTGTTTTTCAATTCATCTTGATAATCTATTTTAAAACATTAGTTTTTCTACCCTCGATGTACATATGGATGTGCGTGCGTGTGTTAGTGTTTCAGTGTACGTTTTAACACCTCTTTCTTATTTTTTATACCCAAAGTAATTATGAGATCAGCTTTTATAAAGCGGTAAACATAAAAATACTAAGTAGCGCTTTTACCTGTCGGTTCTTTTTTTATGTACACCTCACTCAATCACAATTCCTAATTTTCGCTCTTGAAATGCCATCAGTTTTAACGTCAGTTGGCAATTCAATCGCCTAGTACTTAATGGAACTTGACATTTCAGTTTTGTTGTTACTTATTACCAGAAGTAGTCTAACGAAGTGGATTACTGGTAGTGATGAAACGGTATGCTTTTAAGGTCTATAGGGATGATGATTTCAAAAAATTAGTTTTGTTTTGTTTTAGTTGCTTTCAGTATGTCTTCAAAAAAGAGTAAAGTGACAATCAGAATTTAGGCTTGGTTGTCATATTAGTGTATTATTAATCATCCTTGTGTTCCAAGTGACACGTAGGTTTAGAGGTCACATTCCGTTGCATTAGGTTCCCTCTCTCTCCCTCTTCACTGAATTACCTTTTATTTTCTTCGTGGTTGTTGTTGTTAGTATTGGCGATATGCCGGTGTGTCTATACAAGCTAGTTTCTTTGATCCCGTTAACATGGCACTGCACATATTACGAAGCGAGCTCGTAGACCATTAAGTCACTAGATCGGGTCCCAGTGGCCGATGATGAATGGTCTACGAGCTAACCTCATAACCGGAGGGTCCTGAGTTCAAACCCCTGTGGGTACGTGCTACTAAATAGTCCCAAACTAGGACCAAATGACTGTCTAGTACTCTCAGGTTTTCCCATGGTTCTCTAACTGTGATGTCAGCTCGTGATCAGTCCTGGAAACAAAAAGTTTAGTTTGACAATGCTTCCGTTTGAAGCCCTTGTTTCATACTAGTTCAACTGTTGGGTACACAGTCCATTCAGACTAAAATTGAAATAGACACATTTTGTGTTCAAAGATAATAAATACTGATAGTGCGCGGATACTATGAGTCAAATCTTCTACGATCGCTGTTCGTTAGTGGTTTTAGCATAATAACAGTTTATGCCGTATTGATCACTATTATTAAAGCATTTTCATGTGTTATTGTCATGAAATAACTTATTGACTGTTTATTTCTTAATCTACAGTGATTTCCTTAAATCTTTCGCAACACTACCCTTATCTGCGTTATCGGATAACACTATTGCTGATTCACTGAATACAAAAACGCGATATTGGCTCAGTCTCGTAGAAGAGAGTTTTGTGAGGTATGTTTGTATTTTAGTATTGTTTTCTAAGTTATTGAATCAGATCAAAGAAACAACTTGTTAATTGTTATCCTCCTCTTTCCTTTCATATTCTGGTAAAGTTTTACTTAGCTTAGCTCGTGTTCTGTGCGATAAAGGCGTGATACCTATAACTTATTTAATAGTCAGTAGAACAACTGGATCCCGTCTTTCCAACTCATATCATTCATAGGTACAGCGTTTTCTTTCTTTCTTTTTCTCCCTCTCTCTTTCTCTGTTATGTGCTGCTTTGTTTCTTTCTTCTTTTTACTCCAGTAAAAATATGCTAGCATCTACTTTTCTAACACCTTCAAACACTGTTCATTTTGGCTTTGCTACCGACATGCCAATATGTTGTTGTCATAATGAACTGAGATTTCCTTAATCTATGTAGAATTTTATTTATTGATAATGTACTAACTGGATGCAATATTGTAGTAAAATGCTGAGAATTCTATTCTGTATCACAAATACTGTTTTGGAATAAAGTAAATTATTATTATTATTTGACTGGTATATTTGTAGTCAAAGTAAAATCAACGCTTTCTACTGTCTCACTTGTGCAAGGTTTTACCTTGAAAACTTTATCTTACTTAACAGATTCCATGAGTTATTATTTAGGTTAACTGATGTAAATTCGAATGCTGTGCATGCCTCTGGTTAAGCAAAGCGCTGTTTTTGTATTGTTCTCCTGTTATCATCAAGTAGATTGTAAATGTGTGGCATCTTCCTCACAACATTTTGTAGGTAAGTAGTAGTCAATCTAACTGGTTGTTAGACTGCTTACTGACAAACATGCATAGGTTTCTTTGCAACAGGTTCCATTTGATTTGCTTTTTAGATATATCACACACTGACTCTTCCATAGATTCAACTGCATACTAAGTACTAATAATGTGTCTCCAGGTTGAGCTTTTAGTTTGAAAAGTAACGAATAAATGATGTGGATAATCGCATTATAATATGGCATATATATATATATATAATATCATTCATTGCTGTAATAATGGTAACTACAGCTGTATCAATGATGATAGAAATCCACTTCACTTTGAAGTGAAACGGAGAATTCATCGTTTAATTTAACCAGTAGCATCCGTTTATGGAACATTTCATCGATATTTCAAAGATTTCTGTCGTATGTATTTTCTATGTATTTATATTTTTCAGACGGGCTAAAGCATTGGGCGTACATTCGAACTCAAATTTTTTTAGACGATTTAAATTATCCGACCGAAATCTAAAGGTAAGTTCAACATACTGCAAGAATATACAGATTATACTGTGTTAAGTTTGTGATATTACCAATAAAAGTTCAAGTTACACTGTGATCATTCTAAGGAATTGAATAGTTATTGAGAAAGCAAACATGGTCTTAAAGATGTTTTTGGTTGGTTTGAGTGTCCTGTATTATTTATTGATGGATTTGTCTCATTCCTACAGATCGTTTGTTGTACTGACTAGGGTATTTGTGCATACACTATTGGTTGAGTAGATGCATTCTCTTCGGCCTCTGTTCTGCAATACAGTTAGCCGTGAAACATTACTACATTTTACTAATAATTGTGCGTGAAGTTGTTTTGTCATGTGGATTTCACGAAATGAGTAAAAGTAAATCGGGTTATAGATGTGCATCTGCTAATGTGACTGGCATGCTTCACACAAAATTACTTATTACTTACGTCATTGTGCAGTCTGAATAAGAGAAAAAAAATTAGAAAACGGTAATCTCGCCCTACTGAAATATGAACCGTCTATTTTATTGCCGGTATATGAAAATTATGACTCAGTAGTTTCTGTACTGCAGTTGGAGATGACGTCACGTATGTAGAAGTCATTGCTAATGAAAAAGATGTGCTCAGGTATTTGGTGATTATTTAGATATCCTATTAATTTGTGGCTGTTGTATGCAGATTTACTTACAGTCTTCCAGGCTTTTTTTAAGTTTTACGTAGTGCTGCTGATATGGTACTGGGTGTAGTGAATTGTAGAGAAGTGTTAAGGAAATAAATATTTCTATTTTAGCATATATGGGAGCGTTGGTTGTAATTAAAGTAATAGAGAGAAGATCAGTAGTTCAGTGAAGAGTCTCTTTTCGGCGAATTCATTCTCACACCTGTAACATCGCAAATGTATATGGTTGTTTTGTACTTGTGTGTACATTAAATCTGTCAAACGAAAATACAATTAGTGAGTTTTTGGTGGAGTTATGTAAAACAAAATGCGCTCAGAGGAATTTGATATTGATATAAGTGGTGAGCTGTCACAAACAACTGTTAAAGAAGAGTTACGTAATAACCTAAATAGTTTGATGAAAGAGTTGTGCTCAGGGTGAACATGGAAACAAAATAAAATGCGGAATTACGTAAGAGTTTTGAGTAGTTAGAAAAAACAAGCTAAAGTTAAGTTCGATCAGCAGAGTTGTTACCGTGTTAGTAGAAGTGGCTGAATAATATTTTTTTGTATGCATTGTTCTGGTTCTTCTAAATGAATGGCTAGGGCTTCTGCAATACAAAGAAGACGGAAACGTATTGTCTTTGGCAGATTGTTCTTCACTTTGTAGACTACTTTGAAGCAGGAGGCGTTTGTTGAGATGGAATGACCATCGGTGACGAGATGTTAGATTACTGCACTCCTTATATGACCACTACTTCCTTTCTGCAGCCACGCTGGATAGTGTTCTGTGACCCTTTTTGATAGGGTACGCGTTGAGCGACCTATGTATCTGACTACAGCAACAGGTGAACACAGAAGTGGTCAGGTGCGAGATCGTGTCCTTTGGGTTTCTGCAAATCAGCGGGCGACTGGAGAAAACTACTCTCAGTATTGCCTCGAAGAAAGTTCATCTTAATGAATAGACATTCTCCTCACAAGGACATCACTGAGTAAGTCATCTATGAAGTCGAGGTTCATATAAAGTATCGTTTTCGGCACGGATAGTGTCTCTTGCTTTTTGATTTCGTGTTTGATGTTTTTGTCTGTGAATCTTGGTAGATATCCCTTTTGTGTGAAGACTTCTGTAGGAAGTGTAGTTCTTCCTCCAGGGTATCAGAGCTGCAGATGCGTCGGACGCGAGTAGCAAGAGATATAATTAGGTTTCTTTTTCGGCTGACTGGTACCCAGCTGAAGAAGCTTGTCAGTTTGCCGTTCCATGTGGGTTTCCTATGGATGGACCTTCTTAAAGTTCCGTCAGCTCTTCGTGTACGTTCCACATCAAGACAAGGAATTTTAGATCTGTCTTCTATTTCAAGAGTAAACTTTGTAGCTGAATGGCAGTTGTTGAATATTTGAAGTAACTGGTTAATATCCTGACCATCACAGATGGTAAAGATGTTGTTCTCATATCTAGCATACAATTGGAAGTTATCAATATTTGATTTGAGTGGGCGATTCTGGAGGTTTCCCATGAAGCAATCTTCTAGCAATGGGCCCATTCGAGATCCCATTGCGATCTCATCTTGTTGCCGGTAAATAACATCGTTGAATGTGAATTCTACATTAAGTGTACATCTCAGTAGCAATTCTTTTAAAGAAGCCGTCGCTAGTACGATATTCAGCTAGTTTTCGTCTATATATTTACAAATGTGACAGACAGTTTCTGTGAGTGGAACATTGATAAACAGTGACTCAATATCAAGAGAAAACATATTTACACTTTTTTAATAATAAATAAATTTGAATAACGCTTAAACCTTTCATCGGTTAAAAGTTAATCTGAACGATGCTGGACATCGCATCGACACCAAAACAGCCTTCAGGGTTATATACTTAATTTAGAAGTCGTTATCACGTATAGTTCTCTTACGTCTCCTACACATAGCTGAAGCTATTGCTAAAAGAACACGTCCAGATGCTGTTCGTACCTTGGTAAAACTTAGATTTGTGATTCTTCTTCTCACCAAAAGCCCCTTTTCTCTTTTCCGTCTTGTTTTTTGTTTTGTTTTTCTTTGCTTATTATTACCATTATAACTATTATTATTTATTATAATTTATATCCTTCATGCAAACATTCTCTCAATACTATCGAATTTTCCACTTATACTACCCAGACTTATTATAAGTAATATAATGTCTTTTCTCAATATATGCTTCCACCTGTTTCATTTCACACATTGATTATTTCATGATGAACCTCTCATTTCAGTCTTACTATCTCCTCTTTAATACATATTACTTTGTACTACCCATTTTTCTAACACCTTTTACAACCTTGAACTAACTTGTCAATTCATGATATGAGAGTATTTCACACTAATAAATTTCATCGGTTTTGTATACAGATATTGAATTCTTTGCTTTTTTAAAAAGTCGTACAGCTGCTGATAAAGTCTTCCTCTCACTTTTTATTAGGTACAGTGGATAGCGATTCACGCAATAACTAGGAGTGCTATATGTTCTCACAAATATTCAGTCTCATACAAGTCAACACCTCTATTTGTAGCTCGAAAACTAAGAGTTATTTATAGAAAGAAGGAAACCAGCGGAGAAAATTCTCTTTTCGACGATTTCATTTTCACAGATCAACAATCGTACATACATACATGTCACGATAACAATCAGTTTTCTTGTGTGTTTAAGTTTGATTGGTTGGAGGATTTTATCATGAGCTGACATCAGCTGGAGAACCATTGGGGAGTCGAGTACTGGACAACTGTTTTACCCTAGTTTAAAACTCTTAAGCAGTATACACCCATAGGGGTTCGAGCCCAGTACCTTCTGGTGGCAACTCGAACTGCTGCACTTCGCTGCCAAGTTCTATGTTGAATCCAGACAGACAGACAAGGCGAGCTCGTAGATCATTAACGTTCTGGGACCCGATCCATTGGCCAGCCTATGAATTCTAACTTCTGTCAATTTATGACATAGCGCGACCACTTCGCAATATCTTCTTCGATGAGTTACTGCCTCACCTTTAACCTGCTATACCTAACTGGTCACGGCTTTTCACTAGAACCCCAGGTAACTGCCTGAATAGGTCCAGTTGCTAGTGAGCATCAGACTAGTTTTCAAGTATTGGTTTTGGAGGGATTTCGCTTGACTGGTTGGAGGATTTTGTCATGAGCTGACATCAGCTAGATTATTATTTTTATTATTATTATTATATCCTTTAATTCCTAGAGGAACATAGGGGTTCAGCTGCGCGTCTCCATTGCCTTCTGTTTTCTGCCAACTTTTTGACTCCGCCCCAGGTCTGCTCACATGCTTTCATCTCCTCCTCACATGACCTCCTCCAAGTCACCCTTGCATTGACGACCAACTCGCCGCTTCCCTTTCGGGTTCCACTCGAGCAATGGCTTGTCTAGTGATGTCACTTGATGGTTTCCTCAGCGTATGGCCAATCCATCTCCATTTCTTTCTGCCTATTTGTTTCACAATCGGTTCCTGATTGGTTCGCTCCCAGAGATCCCTGTTGCTGATCTTTTCTGGCCATCTGATCTTGAGTATTGAGCGGAGACAACTGTTAATGAAGGTTTGAAGTTTGTTTGAGATGCTCTTTATGACTCGCCAAGTCTCTGATCCGTATAGTAGCACTGACTTCACATTGGAGTTGAAAATCCGGATCTTATTTTTGATGCTGAGTGCTGTTGACCTCCACACAGATTTGAGAGTAATGAAAGCTTGTCTTGCTTTTCCGATTCCTCGTCAGTTCCGCCTGTAGTTGAGACGATGCTTCCCAGGTAGGTGAAGGAGGTTGTTTCTTTCAGGTTCTTCCCATTTATGCTTATTGTTGTCTGTTGTTTTGTTGCTGTTGATGTTGGCAAGGAATCTTCATACCTCTGTTTTATCTATGTTCACGTGAAGTCCTATCTTTGATGCTTCTTCTGCCAACTTGTTACTTTTCACTTGCATATCTTCCAGTTTATGGGAAATCAGACATATATCATCGGCGAAATCCAGATCCTCCAAGTCTTTTGTGTCAGTCCATTTTATGCCTGTTCCCTCGTTGGTTGCCGTTGTCTGTCGCATTATCCAATCAATTGCAATCAGGAAGATCATTGGTGATAGTAGACAGCCTTGCCTCACTCCCGTCCTCACTTCGAAGGCTTCCGTAAGTTTCCCGTTGTGGATTACTTGGCATGCAGCATTGTCGTATAACTGTTGGATGAGGTGTATAATTGTCGATGGGACCCCGTAGTAGCGAAGTAGTTTCCAAATGACCTCTCGATCGACGCTGTCGAAGGCCTTTTCAAAGTCGATGAAGTTGAGATAGAGAGGTGACTGCCATTCCAAGCTTTGTTCAATGATGATCCGTAGAGTGGCGATTTGATCAATACATGATTTGTTTCTCCTGAATCCAGCCTGTTCCGGACGAAGTTTTTCATCTAGGGCTTGTTTGATTCTCTCCAGGATGATGCGACTTAGTATCTTGCTTGGAATGGACAGAAGCATAATTCCACGCCAGTTTTTACATTGACTTAAGTCTCCTTTCTTTGGAAGTTTGAATAAGTATCCGTTCTTCCAATCCTCGGGTACTTTGCCCTCTTTCCACACCTTCTCCAGCAGTGGTGTCATCAAGTCCGCTGTTGTCTCTGGGTCTATTTTCAAAGCCTCTGCTGGGATTCCATCTGGTCCCGGTGTTTTCCCAGCTTTTAGCATCTTGATTGCATTCAGGACTTCTGATTTCGTCGGGGGGTCAGTGTTCACTGGTAGTTCTGCTTCCGTTGTTGGTATTGTTGGACGTGTTGTAGGTGGCGGACGATTTAGAAGTCTTTTGAAGTGTTCAACCCAGTGCTTTCTCTGTTCCACCTCTTTGGTGATTGACTTTCCATTGTCGTCCTTTATTGGCTTAATCTGTGTCGAACGTTTGCCCGAAAGGTTCCTAGTTGTTTGGTAGAGTGTGGCGAGGTCTCCTTTGCCTGCAGCTTGTTCTGCTTCGTTTGCCATGGTTTCATAATATTTTCTTTTGTCTTCCCTGGCACTTTTCTTCACTCTTTTGTTCAGTGTATTGTAGCTTGCATTCAGCTCCTGTTTTTGTTGCTCGTCAGTGCACTGGATAATCTTTTGCTTCACTGTCCTTCTCTCTTCTATTAGTTTCCAAGTGTCCGTAGTGAGCCACTGTTTGTCCTGTCTCTTTTTTCTGCCTAGAATTTCTATGCAGGTTTGGCTCCACACCGTTTTCAAGTTGTTCCAGTGCTTTTCGACGCCGACCTTTCGCTGGTGTTGATTTGTGTCTCGGCTTTGTCCTTTATGCTTGCAATGAAGATGTCCTTTGTAGCCTGGTCCTTCAGCTTTTGAGTGTTGAACTTGGCTTGTGGTCTATCTGCAGCTCCTGATTCCCTGAAAGCTTTTAATTTGATTTGGATTGTCCCTTGTACGAGATAGTGGTCTGAGCCAACGTCTGCTCCTCTTCTTGCTTTTGTGTCCAGTAGGCTGCGCCTCCACTTCCTTGAGATTGAGATGAAGTCGATTTGGTTTTTGGTTTGCCCACGATACCTTCGAATTCTGCAAGAGATACGTTGACAACATTTTCCATTATCGTCAACAATGAAGAAAATCTAGACGATATCTTAAATTCCTTTAACAACTGCCACATCGCGATTCAGAAAAAGAATCTAACTCCATAATATTCTCTCTTGACGTTCAACTAACAAGACGGAGCACTGAAAAGATCTATCTACAGAAAGTCGACGTGGAACGGACAGCTTACTAACTTTCACAGTTGGGTACCTGTGTACACCAAACGAAACCTGATCCGTTCACTCAGCTTCAGAGTTCGCAGAATCTGCACCTCGGATACCATAGAAGACGAAGTAGACAATCTCAAGAGAATCTTCGTCGGGAATTATTACCCAGAAGGATTTATTGCAAAATCCATGAATCCTAGACCACAAAAGCCGCTCACGCTTAGCTCCTTGAAAAATCTGCTCTACATGAGCCTTCAATTCAATGGAGATTCATCTGCGGAAACACTGAAAAATCGACCTTCCTGTTCACTGAATAAAACATTTGCAGTTGAACTACGATTAATCTTCTCCATGAAACCTATGATTCGTATGGACGTGGAGGATAAGCTGCCACCGCTGGCCTCATCAGTGTGTATCTACCAGTTCACCTGCTCGTGTGGAGCCAAGTTTGTCGGCCGTACCCAGTGTTCGCTTTCCAAGCGTATCACCGAACAATTACCAGCATGGTTCTACAAAGGAGAAAACGATGCCTCCGCAGCTCTGTCTAAGAAGATCTGATAAATTCCGGACATCAAGCTACACTCCAAACAAATTTCAGAGTCGTCTACAGAAAACGAAGCAGTTTTCCTAAAAGTGTACGAATCAAACTTCTTCAAACTGCAAAAGCAATGGCGATTCACTTGCTAAGTCCTGAACTCTGCATGTAGAAGAAGTTGATTCAATCACTACACTTGCAATGGACGTAATTTATCTTAACGCCCGACAGGTAAATTCTATTTCTTTCTCTCTTCATTAGTATTATTTTGTCTCTCCAATTGCAGTGTTTTACATCTTCAACTTTCCTGTTCTCTGCTCTACCCGATCAAATTTCTACAATTCATTACTACTGTTACTGACTTGACCAACACTCAATTTCTAGTCATTTATGTTACGTCATCCAACTTATTTGCTCAATTTCAGTTATAATTTAAATGGCATTATTCTCTACCCCGCCTCTACTTAGTCTCTACCGGTAATTATTTCTGTTGCTATCTTGACCTAAATTGAAACATTGTAGTCAATTATATTACGTCATCCAACTTACTAACTCAATCTTACTTTAGTTGCTCTTTATATATTAGATCATTCTTGTATTACCTAAACTTGACAAACCTCATGTACACACACAAATAAATGTATATAAATGCGGTTGTACAGCTATGTGACTGAATTCGCCGAAAACAGTCTCTTCTCTGAACGTCTTCTCTTTTTCATATAACTCAATGGGGATTTTTAAGCTAACAAGGATATTAGTTCATTTTTCTAGATGTCGGTGAGCATTAGTTTTGGAGATGTATGGTCTCATTAATTTACGATGTATGTTGTTGCAGTACTTTAAGTGAATTTGAAATAAAGTGGTTATCAGTTTGTTTACAAATTAACGTAGTTTATGAAGTTTGTAGAAGTTTGACTAGTTTGAATATCTCATTTCTCATTTGGATTAGTATTCTATGTGAACTTTCAGCTTTCTCTTTTTTTACTCCCTTCTTTCAGTTAACACTTGATTCGGGTTCAGAGTTGACCAAATGTTTTTACAATTCACGTATTTTGCGTCGCTTACATTTATTAGAACGATGTGTTACGGATTGGTGGGCGAATTTCCAACTCGGTGAAAATGATTATATGGGTTAGTATTTATTTACCAGTTGAGTTTGATCAGTACTTTGGGCTGACTTGCTGGAATATTATTCTTTCTTATTTTTATCTTACACTTGGAAATCCTTTTTATTTTCCATTGTACAATGCTTTATATGATTGCCATCGGTAATATGTTGTTTGTTGTTGAATTGTAGGTTTTGGTTGTTATTTTCAAGACCTGATAATGTGTCCAGCCTATAAATATAATTTCAACTGTTTGCATAAATTGTTTTATGATGTTAATCAACCTTATGCTAACTACCAAACAGAACTCTCTGTTTGCTTGAAGTAAAAATCGACCTATCATTCTCAATTTCTCTTGCTTAAAGTACACTAAACTTCATTAAGAAAGCCATTTATTTCGCTTATTGGAATGCATTACACCCTCTAAAAACCTGCTTTTCCATCTCTTCTTCTGTTCTTCACAGGATTGTGTAATTATTTGCTAAGAAATGCATTCGGAGAACAGTTTTTCAGTTGTATCACGGAGGAGAACATTGCAATACCATTACAGGTATCTCATGTTAATTTTCTGTGTGTTTCAGTGTGTCTAGACTATTTAATTTATGTTTATAGACATTTTGGAGGTGTCGGTGTTGCAGCGTTAGGATGCTGGCCAACCACGCATGTGATTCGGGCTTCTAACCCCTCCTGTAGCACTCGGAAACCCCTATTAACAGAAAGAAAACTGATTAAAGGAGTCAGGTTGGGTGTGAGACTGGCAACTCCACATAGTGAAAATAACACAAAATGCTATAGAAACTTTTAAGTTAAAGCCCAAAGCCCTAGGTTCCACCGGGAAACTAAATGGAATGAAAAACAACAGGCGTTATGTAAATAAAGCATTTACCATGTGGGGATGCTTATTCGGATAGGCGGGAAACTACTCTCTTCGTCTCTGTCGTTCTCCAATAAGCTTCAAACTTAAAATCTTCAGTTCGAGAACGGTGAAGTGAGAATATCTCTTAGGCTTAGGTCACCTCATTTTTTTATTACTCAAGATGGAGATTTCCTGATGCTTTTCGGATTATTGTTTTCGACTTTTTCGGCACGTTGTTCAAATGTGTTACATTTAGAATAAGTATAAGGACTTTGACGCACTGACCTGGTATTAACAGTATTCAGTACTTTCTCTTTTTAATAATACTATTATGCCTTTATGGCGGTACGTTTTATCTCTCCTCAAGACCCAATATTTAATGAGGTTAGTGTAATATCTGCTTTAGTCCTAGACATCTGGGCACTATGACAGCCCTCACACAAACTATGAGATTTTGTGTGGCTCATTTCTTGGTGTCTCATCAATAATAAATTAGGGTAATATAGACCTGCCATTAAGAATAGGACCTAGAATAGTTACATTAAGAGGTGATCATGCGTATCGTCTAAGTTCTCACTCACAAACCAAGGAACTATGATTTTGAATTGCATTTATGAGAAAGTGACATCAGCCGGCAACTGTCGTCACAGGCCATCTGATTGACTTAAAGATAAACAACTTCAAGTGGTAATTCGAAGAAATCTTTCAGAGTTAGTCACTAATCAGTAGTTATTTACTGTTCAGAATTCTGGTTTGCGAGGATGAGTCAAGTTTCCACGAACACCAACATATAAATCCTGTTAAGTTAAACAATTTCCTTTTGTATCTATTTCCCTTATGTGATTGTACAAAGGTCCGTGATGCTAGTTTGAGTCAACGTTTCCGTGAGTTGATGCTTTCAAATTTTGAGAATCAAATTTGTGCTGTTTCAATACATTCAGCACCTGGAAATGGAGGCCAGTCAACCAATGTGGAAACTGTTGACCAATTAAATGGTGAATGTTGTGGTCTGATTGAATTGGAAAATGAGGATGAATCTTTTTCTCTTAACAGTGATATTCTTGGTTCTAGAAGTGAAAAACTTTCACAACGCTGCACAGTTATTGCTGCCCCAAGCAAGAATAATTGCAGTAATAGTAATAATGAAATTTTAAATTCAGATTGCCTGGCTACTCTTCAAAATTTAGTCAGTGAAACATCACATGATTCGAATAACATTATACTCCCCACTATGTACAACGATATTCATTCTGGTGGATTTGAAGTTAGCCTGATGAAACCTTCAGTCATTGATCCAGTGTCTCTTATCCATTTCGATTTGCCAAATTTCCCTTTGTCAGCATTCGCCCCAAGGTCAATTAGGTGTCTACCTTCGTCTCTGAAGTTAGTTTTAAATATATTTTTTATCTGCATGAAAATTTTATTGTTTACCATACATTCTTCTTCCTTAAGAATATAATCTGAATGCCCTCCAATGTAGAGTTTTTGTTTTTTATATAATCGTTCGTGTTGCTATATAGTCTTGCTTCGCAGGCTGTGCAAAACACGTGAGGAGTTGATTAGCGAAGGGCAGGAGAGATTTCCTTCAGGCCGTGGATGCATTGATCATGTGTTTACCCTTCGTCAGTTTTTGGAACACTTCCACACGTATTGCAGGCCAACAATCCTTGTGTTTCTTGGTATTAAGACTACCTTCGACTTTTTGGGTAGAATTGTTCCTTGGAACTGTTTGTTAGAGAGGGATGTGCCTGAAAAGTTTGTGAACATCCTTGAAAGCCCTATACAAAAACACCTCAGGTAGAGTGAGGGCATACAACCAATTGTCGTCACAGCTCCCAACCAACAGTGGGGTTACATAGGGTTACCTAATCTCCCCATTTCTTCGTAACTTTGCCATAGGTAACATTCTAGAGTCAGCTCTGAAGGAAGTGTGCAGGTGTTGTAAGTCTGGAGAAAGACCTTTCGACCTCGAGTATTCAGACAATATCGTTTTGCTGTGCAATAGCATGCAGGGTGCCTGAATCAGTCGGCGATCAGTGTCCGAAGTATGGTATATCATTTGTAAGTATGGTGTGTGCTTTGCACCCTCCAAGTGCAAAGTACTGTTACACAATTGGCAGGAGCCTGTACCTGTACCCACTCTGGCAGGTGAATCACTTGAAGTTGTCGATAAGTTCGTGTATCCGGGTAGTTAAGTGAGGGCTGCTGGAGGCGTGACGGATGAGATTTCCAACCGTATGATGAAAGCTAGGGTGGCAAACGTCAACATGACATCGGAGTCCGTCACGACTCTAGTCTGGTTGTCATAGTTTGGGTCTACAATGCTTCGATGCGTGATATCTTGCTCTACGCCTGTGAAACCTGGCTTGTCTGAGGTAAGTATGTGGGGTGTCTCTGCGTATTCGATCGTCGCTGTCTCCGTAGGATCGCTCGTGTTCGATGGCATCATTGCGTGAGTAATTCTGAGGTTTGGCAGCGTGTGTTTGGACACAGTGGAGATCACCATTCGTCGAGTGTTGTCATCTGGAAACCGTGGCTTGAACATGTGCTACGAATGTCATCCCAGAGTCTTTCTTACCGCCAGTCAAAACTCACCGCATCGGTTGACCAGTCGTCTTACGAAATTGAAATGGCACTAGTGTCTGAGTCTCATAGCTCAGCCATTATTGTGATGGATCGATAATGCTAAATTATAGATTTGTCCTAACTATCATATCGTTGTTACAGTCTATCAGATAGTTTTAACAATAGAAAATTATATGAGACAAAAATTTTCCTGAACCAGTTAGGTATATGCAATTTCGTCCTTTTTTGTTGTGCATTATGCTGAAACGGATCTATCAATTTTTAAAGATCTGACAATGTGATGCTTGCTAATTCATAACCTTTTTTTGCCTGTCCTATTGCCATCTTTACCTGAAAATCTGCAGATCATATCCTAAACGAAAAGTATCATCTTCTGATCAATGTACATGTGCTAAGAAATCTATGAGTTGTTCTTGTATCGCATTGACAAAATCGTCATTAGAATCAAATTTTCGCAAAACTCTGACTGAAACATGGTCTAATCAGTCATTTGAAGTGGATACTTCAGAATCAAGTACACTTTTGTTGCCGATATCAAAACACAATCGTCATCATTCATCGTCAAAGCCTTTACTATCCATTTGGAGTGTATTTACCTCAGAGTTTAATAATGTCTATAGTAATATTGGTTCTGTAGAACGTGTTAACGATGACAATATTTCTTCGTTGTTAACCGTTGAATATGATGAAAATCAATGGTGTTATTCTGATGGTTGGTGTTTGTGTAGTGCTACTGATATGTCTGATGTCAACGACAAATGTACTTTGGCGTTTCAAAACATTGTTCAGCACATAGCTCGAGTTTTTCACCCTTGTATTATCACATTGCTTATGCATTCAAGGTAAATAGTTGCTGCTGTTTGTATTGTTATATATATAATTCTGTACAAAGTTAATAGTTATCGTGGGACGAAGACTCATAAAAGGACGTCCATTTTCTAACTGTGTATCCCCAATACCTCAATACCAAATGTTCCCAAACTTGAAATCATAAATCAGTTCGAATACTATTTTGGATAATAATCACATTTTTGTTTTGCAGGTATTTTATTTCAGGTTAGACCACGGCTTGACCCGTGGAGTTCAACCAGTCGGGAGTGAAGATGAAGTTCCCACCGATGGCATTAGTTGGTCTCACTAAAATCGTGAATCGGTAGAAGTTAGAATTCATAAGCCATTGAATCTGGTCCCAGTGGCTGACTGGTATACGAGCTCACCTTGTAACTAGAAGGTCCTGGGTTCGAAACCCAGTGACTGCGTACTGTGAAGAGTCCCAAACTAGGGGGACGAAACAGCTGTCCACTACTCCCTTGTTTTGAGTGTTTCTTCAACCGATATCAATCCGTGGTCTAACCTGAGACAAATAGAATCCCTTCAAACCAAATCCTGAAAAGTATTTCATTGATTTCGCTATCTTTATTGCTGTGAGACATGACTTTTTAGCGTGGAAGGATATGAAAAGATGTATCATTTTTTGATCATTGTTGTTTACGTCCAGTTTTTTCTGGTTATCTTGTGTAAAATGGTCAGTAGTTATAAGACTAAGGGTGCGGGGTGATAAGTAAGGGAAAAACGTACAGCGATAGGACTGTGAAGCCCAGTCAATTGAATTCATGAGATATGTACTACTCATGCCGAACTACTGCATTCTTCGAAAGGCAACGTTTAGCGCAAGAGGAGTATATGGGAAAAGAATTAGAACAAACACAGTTTTTTGTTCAACGAGGAAATATCTTTTTTCAATGAATTTATCTTCAAGCTGTACATTCGTATTTATATTACGGAAAAAAGTCTTTAAGTAGCACTAGAAATTGCTCAGTCAATATACATACAATAAAAATAAAGATATATATGTCGAAACCAAGTTCACTTTTAACAGTTTGCTAACTAAAATAAATAAAAATGACGTAATAGGGGGGAAGTTAGAATTTAAGCGGATGAATTACGAATTTTTTAAAGATTATAAAGTAAATGAATTAGAAGTGGCGTAAACAAAGCATCTCTCTTAGTTTGATCTACTTAGCGAGGTGTAAACTTCTTGATCGGCGTTCTTGGGATGGTTGGATTCATTGGTTAGTGAGCCCTGGTCGTTCTCAGTGGCTCACTCCTTGTGAACTTTGAGTATCATTAGATCCTTATTACCCTTTTTCTCCTACATTTTCCTGTTGTATTTTCATTGCATTGCTTACCTTTATCTTAATTTATGTTAAGATGAAGTGTGGCGACTTAAACAGCTGCACTTCTGTGCCGTGTTGTATGTTTGTAATCCAGTTCAGTTCAGTGTGTCGATTGACTATTGAACTCAAACTGTGTGATTGTACTAAACATTGTTGGAGACCTGTGTTCCGTTTTTTAATGCAAGTTTACATGTTTCTTGGTTCGCTTTAATTTTTATATATAATTTGACAGTTAATTTATTACATTTTTCGTGTTTCTCAAACGACTTCAATTTTCTGCAGAGATCGTGAGAATTCTATTTTGGATATGAATCATCCGTCGGTACACAAATTTATTCGTCAAATTACACTACCACCGGGTCAAATGAAGTTGATGAAGAAGGTTTATGCAGAAAGAAATATTGTCATGAGTGACTTAACCAGTTATGCGGATTCTTCATTGCATCAGTCTGTTGGCCAGTATAACTGTTTTCATAAATATAATAGCACTGATGTTAATACCATATCTTTAGACACTGTAAACAATCCATTGAATGAATTATCACCATCGTTTAAGCAACAAAAACAAAAGCTTTCACACCAAATGTTAAAGTTTCCAATTTTGAATGATGAACTGGTACAATGCGATTCAAGGTCACAGCATAAATGGTACTCTAATATAAATGTGAATACTAGTAATCCGTATATCAGTAATCAGCGTTTGGGTAGTATTATGAATCACTCCTTATACTTTCATCCAAATCGGTCACAGAACACTTCATATGATGTTATTTTTGATGTCTCACAATCTCAGTTACATTTCAATACTATCAATCAAATGGCTAATACTGGTATCCATACTAGTGGTAATCTTGTTGCTGTTACTAATTCTAATTTGGCTGATACTACTACGTATCAAAATTCGGGATGTTATTGGTCTGGTCTCGAAATTACCACTAATAAGTACAATACCAACATGGACAATAGAGATTATTCAGGTGGTACACCGACACCGAGTTTGTATGGTACAGAAGATGCAGCTACCACAGATGATTTGGAGGAATCTGAGGACATTATATCTATGTCGAGTAGTATAAATCATTCTGAGCTGGTGGATAACCTACTTAGCATAAGCGCACATGAAGAAATAATAAATGATGTAAAGAATACAGCTATTCGTCCGGTGAACTTTCCTTTGGCCGTACCAGAGTTATTGACAATCTCAGCAACCTCTGCAGGCAGTAATGATACTCAAGTAAGTGTAATGTAGTTTTATTTATGGAGATTTTTTTTTTATACGAATTCATCAGTGAATGTTAGTCTGACTAACAGATAACCATTATTATTATCGATCATCAAGAGGATCGGATTCGATTGACCTTAGTGCAAAATTTCCTTTCCTTTCGACCATGGCAGAAGTGGCCTACCTGTACCTGCCTGACTTATTTTGTGTAGGTCATGGTGAACTGTGTCAAATGCCTTCTCAAAGTTTGAGAAGACCACATGAACTGGAACATTCATATCCCACCATGATGTCCAATCGTCCCAAGCTGCTAGTAGGTTTGTTACACAGGATCTACCTTTCCTGAAACCATGCTGGGCTTCATGAAGTATATTAGTCCTATCGATGTACTCCCTTATGTGTTCGTCAATAATACTTTCCAGCACCTTTGGTACCATTGGGAGTAGAGCTACTGGTCTATAACTAGTGGCATTTTGTGTGTCCTTACTCTTGAAGGTCGGAGAAAGGTTGGCTCTTTTCCACTCCCTTGGCAGTTTCCCCAAATCCATCAAGTGTTGGAGCAAATCGCATAAGAGCCTACAAAGAGCCTCAGCGCAGCGTTTCAAAACAAATGGCCTGATGTCGTCACAACATGGGGACTTTCCAGATGTGAGTCTCTGTAGCTTCCTTAGTACTATTTCCGGGTTTATTTGGGGAATAGCCACTAGGCCTTCCTCTGGTGAAGTAGTGGTGTCACCATTTTGGTCCGTACCTGTAATGCGGACATTGCTTTTTAACTATTCGGCGAAGGCTAAACTGAATGTTTCCGCCATCTCCAGACTAGTGAGGTGTTGACCGTTTGGACCTACTAAAGCGCATGCCCCTGGTTAGTTGGTTCTCTCTCCGATATGGATCGATAGAAGATTTTGGGGTTTGCTAGAAGTTTTTTGGCAAAGTTAGCTTGAATTAACCTCCTATCACTCCTGACCCTCACATTTCACCGGTTCCTAATTTCTAAGTATGCTTCGTGGTCGGTCTGACTCTTGGATATTCGCCACGTAGACCAATCGTTCCGCTTTGCTTGCAGAATACGTTGCCTACCTATCTTCAGCTATGAGAACCTTTTTTCGGTTGTGTTGTAACTAAAGGGACAGTATCAGTCAGTCCTGTATTTCGAATGGTTTGCAACAGATTTTGACCGAATTTTCCCTGAGCATACCCCGAGCCAAGGTTCATTGATGGGGCATTGAAATCTCCAGCTATGATGACTTGACCACAGCCCAAGTTCCGTATCCCACTGATGGTGCTGAGCAGTAGCTGGTTGTATTCTGCCCCACAGATGGATGATCAGTGAATGCCACCCAGTAAGTGTTTGGTGTGCCCTACAGGGAAATGACACCATATGGAGTCTGGGAGTTCAGTAAATGGTGGGTCCTTTGCGGGTACAAATTAAGTTGCTTGTCAAAGTATATGGCAACTCCCCACCTTCCTTATTATCCCTGTCTCTTTTGACCAGAACCATATAACCTATACTGATTTCGTTGTCGTCGATAGTGGGGGTTGCCACGTTTCAGTGAGAATGTTTATTTTAAGGTGTAGGTATGACTGGAGGCTTCGCAGTTCACCTACTTTCCTTCTCAGTCCTCTCACATTGCTATATAGGTAGCTGACAGAGAGTCTCACAACCTCAGTGTGTTGTGGGGTATTTGACGTTACGGTGTCTGCTCGTAGGTGACTTAATATTGGGACTAGTTGGCCGATTCCGATGGATCCTGCCCGTTGTAGTTTTTTTGATGGATTCGAGTAGGACACTTGAGTGACACTGATTGTTATTCTCAGTACCGCATCGCTATAGTGTCACTGAGGCCTCAGTTTGCTGCCTCCCTATGATTCGAGGTCTGCTTTCTTAGCATTGGATGTGTCCTCCCATCCTCTCCTTGTTCTCGTACCACCGTTGAACTTTTATGTCCAACTCTTCCTGGGAGTTGAATTTGACACTTAGCAGCCTTGGGGAGCTAATCTGTGTGAGATGAGCTGAGTGAGGTGGCCAAAAATGGAAATTGTTCCACAAGCCCCAAGACCCATCTGAGTTGACGCCCGTCTTCATTACTGTACGTCATGCATGCGATTTCACAAATTACCAGTTTCCAATTTCAGAACACCTCGTATGACATCAGTTCCGTTAACCCCCTCGCCGTTCGCCTTTTAGCGTATGGCCTATATTGTCTCACTCTGATGTTGGGGATGCCGTCGATGCCTAATATTTGAGCCAGTAACAGTATTCTTTCAGCCTCTTCGACAGAGCCCAGTGTCATCCTTAACGGAGGTGGCTTACCTTGAGGTGCCTAAACACCCCTGTAAAGTCTGCTTTGTTTTGCTAAACTGATGTTCAGCCCTAATTTATTGCACCAATTAGACCACTGTTCTTGATCAAACAGAGCCCTTTGTTCAAGCAAACTACTGTTGCACATTGCTTAGATCAACTTACATAAGACTTAAGTTTGGTCTTTGAATGCTTATCCTCCTTTGTAGGGTCTGTCGTTTTAGACTTCATCAAGATCTGACAAGTCTTTGTTATGTTGCCATGCTTCCTAGTGAGTGCAGGTGGTCCTTTGGCAATTGCGCCTCCGCCTGCTGTTCTGGGCGTAAACTTGCAAGTCTTCAACTTATAAAGATAAATATTTCCAGTCGATTGAGCTGGAAAGTCTTGTTGATATAGTGTTGTCAAGTGGAGCGTTGCATGAGACTGTATCGAGACGAAAAAGTGGCGCGCCATTTCTGTTATCCGGGGACATTTTGTGACTCTGTCAGGGCTAAAGAGTGGGCATATGTACCAGAACCACGGACACAAGTTATTTCGCATAAACTCGTGATATGATTTTGGCACTCCTTTGTTACAATAGCAGTACACACATCATTTGAAAAAATGACATTCAAATGCTGAATCACTTTTGGAAACAACAAAACTACAGGCCTAGCATTCGTCTCCTTTTCTAGAAGACTTTCGAAGTCTTATGGCATCTTCAGCGTTAGTTTTTAATTTTACTGTGTGTCACACACTGGCTTCCTATGGCTGCCGTTGTAGTATCGTGTCCACTTGGTTTTGCCTGTGCAGTTTCAATTTCGGACTGTGGCGATGTAGGTATGGCAGGGAATATGTACACGGGTCTTAAGAATCGGTATTCGAGATTAGGTTAATATTCCTGGGTTATTGCTCCTCTGGCTGAGATAGCAACAGTATCCGCCCAGTAGAACAAGAACAAATAGATTGATAAATTATAAAATAAGAGAAATAAAAGGTTTTTGACTTTACCTAGTACTTTTAGCTTACTCAGCTTTACTGAGATCACGTGGCAGACCAACAAATCCTGTTTATCGGAACGAGTGGGGAAAAAGCTGCTGCAAGTGTAGCCCTGGAAGCTTCGGCAGTAGTTCGAGACAGCTGGACTTACCACACACAGATTTAATGTGGAAGTTATGGTTGAATTTAATTCACCGGGTAGAAAGATCAGGTTCGCCGATTGGATTATTTACAAAATAGGTGTTTTCCAGTTAGAGAGGAAAAAGCACGTCGTATTCAAAGAGCGTGCTCAATGGATATTTTTACTTTTCATCATAAACAATCCTAAAATCCTTTTAGTGGTGAAGTACACTACATAATCTAAAATGAAGAGAAATACTATTCAAGTGAGTGAAACAGTCCGCTTATGGAGGTATACGTAGTGAAGATCTCATATGAAGCTTTGAAAGGAAAATGGAATCTGCTTGATTTTTGTTCTCTATATGCGTAGTATGTCCTAGATGGATAAGAGTCTCATTTAAATTTTATCTGTTATGTGACATCACAGCAAAGTTAGATTGGATAATTGTTTAAATTCCAAACACCAAAGTATTGCGGAAAACTTCCTCCCTTAGGCTAGAATTCCATCACTAGTGTTAAGAGTAATGCATATATCTTTAGAACACTTTGGATGTGGATGACATGCTAGACGTATTTTATTTGCAATGGTTTCCTAACCGATGTCAGCTCATGATGAAAACCTGTAACAAACTTTGTGCACTATGGGCACCAAAAGACAAACCGCTAGAAATGTCACATTACGGAAAATGGAAATAGAAAAAATGGTGACATAACATCACGAAGACAGGTAGGCATACTCATCAAGGGTAATCGGCTGAGGACTTCACTAATTCATATTGCTTCCAGAAAGTCTAGGGAAGATGAAATTGCATCAAGTTTGCTATTGGTTTATATCCTCAACCATGTCTGATAAAGTCTCGTACTCTACTCTTTCGTTATGTCACCACAGGTGCTGACTCAACACAACTTTCCCTTCACCTTACAAGGTTACATCACATACTAATCACTTCTCCGCTTTTCCCATCCACTTTCACGGCTAGCGATCAGTAGATGATATGGAGGTCTCTAGAGTAACATTCGTAACAAATGTCGAAGCTGGTGTCCTGAAATGACATCGCTTATGGAAAGGCTACCGCTATTATATCCAAACGCACACACTCATCAGACGTCGAAATTAATTACCTTATAATACCTCCACATGTAGGCAGTTCTACAGAAATGGCGACGGTGGAACTGTCAGTGGCTATAGGTCAAAGATGCCAAGTCCCACGAGGTTAAAGGAAGTCTATGCGTAGTGAAGCGTTGTAAACAGGTTTACTGAAAGCTAAACTGACTTCGCAACAGGATCAGTGGTTGTCTAGGTGGGCATACAGCTTTAACTATATGACTGGAGTTTTTATCCTTCACACCTCCACTGGCACTCTTACAACACGAGCTTATTGTTTACTTCTGACTGTCCGTCTGAAAGGATGTGTACAAATATAGACCTCCGTATCTTAAATAGTTTGTTGCTATTTGAAATGTAAAGCAGTAGCATACTTACAGACACTAGTTGTCAAATAAATGAGTGTGTATTACGCAACCTCTACGTCATCTTCGGTGTATTTATTATCATCTTAACTCATCTTTCAGAGCTGTAACTAAGTGTCATGGGTGACAAATGAAATTACACCTCCCGGCCTAATTCTATTTCCTGAGTACATTGGTGATAGGTAGTTACACGCTATCACCGCTTACCTCAGGTACTTTTGTTCAAGGCATTCAGTTTGTTAGTTGACTTCTCAGGGACATGTGTCTTCAACAGGCTATCCTAAAGAACAGATGCTTTGCGGATTGAATATGAAAATAACGGTTGCACGAGTGGTGGTGTGCGGACTACTGTGAATGAGTGATCGATGCATCCAAAACCTGATGAAACTCAATTTGGTCTTCTCAAATCAATTTCTCACGCGTTCTACAAAGGCTGCAGAGGATGATGGATGACAGTATTTTGCTTTTCTTCAACTATCAACTCGTGCTAGACTTGATTGATTCTCCTGAGCTTCTATTTCCAGACATTTCGAGCTCCAAGTTCCACTCGAAATCTTACGGTGGCCCCAAGGATGGTTGTTAGTCATGCGTTTCTAGAAATACGTTTGTTGTATTTACGTGTTCACTAGTTGGATATCAGACTTATATGTATTATATCCTCTGGAGCTTTGGAAAGCAGTTAACTGATTGACGTATTGTTTTAGTTTTAGCACTAGTCAGCAAACTTTTATAGATGTATGAAGTGAGATACAAGTGGCTTTGCAGGCTGTTGTTTCCTTTTAAACCTAACATATTTCATGTGGCTTTTACCTTGTTATTTTCTAGAGTCAGTTGGAGAGTGAAATTATTGATGATTTCTCCTTAAATGGCCTAACACCTTCGCGGATATTGAACCCAGGGCAGTTATTATCTTTCCCTGTTGACCCAACGCCGAGCATTCAGTCAGGTCAGTCGACTTCCAGTGATCATTCCTCACATGACATCCATAAACTTTCTTCCGGTGGATACGCGTCTAGTCCAACCGTTAATTCTCGTGTGTTCTTTGACAATAGTCCTGCTGAAACACTAATTATTAATGGTGCATTTAGTCCTAGCAATTCAAGTAGTCGTATAATACTTCCTCAAGATTCAGATGTTCAGTCAACTGAAGAAGTTGATTCCACTCCAGAGGAGAATTTACATCGCGAAAACGGGATACAAAGAGGTAACGATGATGTCAGTCGTCCAGAGCCAGTTGATCAAACTAAAAACTTTGAAATGAATAACGTTTCATATGAAGACTGCAGATGGTGAACATAATACTGTACTACTCACATTGTTGTGAATTAACAGGTAATTTTATTTTTACTCACTTCGAAGCACTTACTCGTAGGATTATAATTAGATCTTTCTTGTTGAGTAGATAGTTTGCGAAGAATTATTAATTTTCCATTAGCGTAGTTTTCAAAAGTTGTTTGTAGGTGACTTTTAGAAAAGATCCTGGCGAAGCTGAGCAGCAGAAATTCAATAGGTGTTGAAGTATCAGACTGGCGGCTAATTGTCATCCTCCTTTTCGGAAATCATTCAGGGTTGTGGTTGTCATCATGGTGGCATTTGATGAGAAAATTCATTATATATTTTGTACACGCAGTTTCTGTGGAGCAGAAAACCTAAAACAGCTCAAACAGGTAGTCTACGTTTAACTTATTCTTGATTGAATTATTTAAAGGAAAGCAGGAGAGAATTATTCTCCTTTGTGTGCACATAACTTCTGACTCGGTAGTTTCAGAGGTGTCCATTATAGTAGTAATTATTATTATTATTATCATCATCAGTATTATACTCTGACAGTTTAATTGGTATGCATAAAAATTAGGTACTGTAGCTTTCAGAAAAATGTTGTTTCAAGTGATCATCCCTACAACATGTCCTAATTATGTTTTTCCATTTTTCTCTTCAGGCACCTCTGCTGAATTATCTGCTTTTTTATACATGCAACCAGTTAAATGAGTAGCAACGCCATCATTCGCCATTTTTATTATTATTATTATTATGGGTATTGTCATCGTCTGTCTTTTACGCAAACATAGAAAATCAACTGTTTTCTCAACGAATATTCGTTCCCATCTTTTTGAAAAATTTTAAAGTTTTCAAACCATCATGATTTGCAGTTTATCTTTCTTAGAGATCATGTCTAATATAATATAATCAAATATAAATTTTGTTTTACATGATCTAATTTATATTTTTTTAGAAATTTCCTCAAAGTTACACTTTTCATCATTTAGTTTTTTGATTATAATATTCAGTTGATTGGTTATATTTATATCGGCCAGCTTGTTTTACCTTGACTACCAAGTTTTTTGTGTTTCACCGGCTTTCTACTTTCTTTAATGCTTTTATCACACGTTTATGCAGAAACTTCTCTTGTTGTCTGATGATGTGTTACTAAGCCAGTCACCATTCAAGTTTCTTTTTATTTTCTGTGATTACTTTGTGTGTGTGTGTGTGTGCAACAGATAAAATTTCATAATAAACAAATGTTGTATAATATCTCCACTCTGCATAAGTGGTGTCAGCGCTACGAATCTTAATTGGAATTTTGTTGACTTACAGATTTCTGTATTGAGTTAATGCTTATTTCTTTTGGAGAATTGCTTTGTTTTACGCCTCTGAAGTATTTACGAATTACGCTAGTTTTCTTTTCCTTTTCTTTTTTCTATCTTAACCACTACTGTGTATGTGAGAGATACTTTAACAGATCTTTATTGTTAAAGTTATGCTGCTAACTAACCCTAAGAGTTTCTGTAATTTTTGGCGATTATTTATCCTAAAACATATCCATTTGAAAGACAAAAGAAAATTAGAACAAAGAATATTCTTTTCGAGTATTCCCTCTTCCAGCTCTATTATTATACCTATGTTTATATACACAGAATATACTAGAATAATCGTCATTAACAATATTGGTGTTTTTTTGAATACTATCGATTCGTTAACATCACAATGGAATTACCACAGTTCAAGAAAAATGCATAACCTCGCCTACTTAACTAGCTCACTAGTTAACCTCGCTAGCCGGTCCCAAATCCGGAAAAAGAGGAACTCACGTCCCTTCTGTAATTTGAATCCGCATCACCCAGTTCCGCCTGCAGTCAAAGACATTACCACTGAGCTATTGTGGTTTGTGATTGACCTCCTTTATGACTGAATTGGATATTTTTAATTGAACACTAGTCAGTAACTAGCCTAATGTGTCCATTCCCATCTTTAGTGCAGGCTGAATTCTATCAGTCAAGTTTGCAGACATGCTTTGTTGATAAGCGCCAGCTAGAACGAGATCTTTCCACAAGGTTTCCCGCAGGTTGCCTCCAAATATATAATAACAACAATTCACAGTGCATCGTGATGGCAAGCCACCTGACATGGTGGCTACCTGATGAGTGATAGAATTCAGTCATGATGATGTTACAAATCCACCAAAGAATCACAAAATTGTGACAAGATTACCTAACTAAGGATAATTGCTTTGAAATTATTTCACTGCAAAACAAAACCCATCAGATAAGAAGGGAAAATTGTCAATAAGCAACCTCGCCTAGTCAACTAGTTAACTGGTTTTCTAGCCAGTCCCAAGGTCAGTCAAGGAGGGCGAAGGAGTCGTGGGGCTAGCAACCCAACACCAATAAACCTATCAAACTGTTCGAGAAACACTGTTCAACACATGTAAAATATAATAAAAATACAAAAGATTCAAATAACACTTTTATTATTCGCTCGAATCGGAGAGGCGAAATGACACAGCGGGATGGTGAAAGCCCATCTTCGGGAAGCCAACTGCTAAGGCTTCCCAGGTAGCCAGAGAAATGAGGAGATACGGCTGAGAAAGGCTGGTTACCTGCGAGAGCAGTTGGAATGGATGTGGAATAGCCAAATAGTCAACTGGAGAGTCAGTAATCTACTCCGGTCTGGTCACCCAGACGACAACCACGAGCACATTGAAGCAGTGAGTGGCTATCATGGTGTCAACAATGGCCACCGAAGTCCTAATGCAGTGGGAACCAATTACATCCGGGATTATGACAGCAAGATTCAGCTCAAAAGAAATGAAGGAAGATGTCAGTCATCCAATGCTACAAACAACGCGGAACAAGAGAAGAAGGAATATTTTCATAGTCAACTACAAACAGTAATGGACAACATCTCGAATGGTGACATCAACATCCTTATTCGCCATACAAATGGGATCCAAGCGGGGAGCAGATAATACAGGAAGAGAAGTCATCATAGATCGAAAGGCTCTCGCTCGAAGAAATGAATGAAGATGAATAATTATTCATAGACTTCTGCGCCTTCAATGAATTGGTGATCGGAAGGAGCGTGTGAAAACACAAGGATATGCACAAAATAACATGGATTTCGCCTGATGGACATACCACAAACCGGTTAGATTTCATCTCAATGCTGCTCAAAGAAGTTGAGACGCAGCTAGTATTCTGGACACAAAGTCAAGAAGGGAGAGCAGATGTGGGCTCAGACCATAATCTTGTTCAAGTGAAGCTGAAATCCATGAAAACAAATGGAGACAGGCGACATTCAAGTTCAACATTCACAGCAACTGAAGGATGATACTTCAAGGAATGTCTTCGCTATAGATTAGAGAAAATTCGGACATACAACGTGGCATCACGGAGGAAACCTGTGTGGACGGACATTGTAACTCTCTGAAAGAGATATTTAAGGAAACGTAAACAACTGTTTTAGGAAGAGACAAGACAAGGAATGGCTGTCATTGGATACTTGGAAACTAATCGAGGAAAGGAGAATGGTGAAAGTGACAACTCAATGCAAAGATGGATAACAGAAGGAAAAGCTGAGTTCAGTGTACAGTGCACTGAATAAAGAATGTAGAAGAGTTCTACATAAGGACAAACTACAATTGTATGACACACTGGCAACTGAAGCAGAACAGGCCGCAGGCAAAAAAGACGTCAGTACACTATATCAGAAAACCAAGTCTCTATCCGGGAAGAGATCAACCCGGATGGTGAAACCAATAAGAGATACTCAAGGGAACCTGATTACCAAGCAGGAGAAGCAAAGAAAACAATGGGCTGATCTCTTCAAAGGGCTCTTGAATCGACCACCACCTGCAACTCTTTAGACTCATCAGAGAAACGGGGGGGGGAAGGCAAATCATAAGTGACACAATCTCGGGGAAAAATGGCACCATAATTAGCTCTCACGATAGACGCCTTGAACGCTGGAAAGAACACTTTGAGGAACAATTTAACTTGCCTACAGCCACACTGAACCTCCCCGACATCCAGAACACACCCGAATGGGATATAGACACTGGTCCGCCGTCTGTAAGTGAGGTATCAAAAGCTATCAGTAATTTGAAACGAGGCAAAGCGGCAGGACCCGACGGAATTATTCCGGAGGTGTTTAAATATGGGGGTGACATACTAGTTTGTAGATTAACTGAGGTACTAGGCAAAGTCTGGGAATCAGAGACAGTTCCATCAGACTGGGGTAAGTCACTTATTATACCGATATTCAAGAAGGGAAACAAGTCCTCGTGTGATAATCATAGGGGGATCAGCCTAACGAACATAGTCTCTAAAATCCTAGGCTCAGTAATCATGCATAGACTAAGCAGAACTCGGGAGGAACAGACAAGGGAAAATCAAGCAGGCTTTAGACCAGGTAGAGGGTGCATAGATCATATCTTCACTCTTCGACAGATTCTAGAACATAGACACACTTTTCGGCGTCCAACAATTGTCATATTTCTTGACTTGAAGGCGGCCTTCGACTCCGTGGATCGAAAGGTACTATGGCAATGTCTGACTGTGAAGGGAGTGCCAAGAAAGTACATTGCACTAATCAAGGCACTCTATTCAAACTCACGTAGTCGTGTAAGGGCTTATGGGGAATTGTCATCTGAATTGGTAACAACCAGTGGTGTCCGACAGGGATGTCCACTTTCCCCATTTCTGTTTAACTTCATCATAGATATGCTGATGGAAGTATCCTTAACTGAACGTAATGACTTAGGAATCGACTTGTTACCAGGGAATAATCTTATGGACTTAGAATATGCAGATGACATAGTCCTGTTAGGGGAGGATGCTGACAAAATGCAGAGTCTTCTGAACACCTTGAGCAGCAATCTTCGTATGTTTGGCATGCGATTCGCCCCTACAAAATGTAAGATGCTGCTACAGGACTGGACCACGTCAACTCCTAACTTAGTGATAGGGAGTGAAGTGATAGAACATGTTGACCACTTTAAAAAATTGGGAAGTTGTATTAGCACCAACGGACTGATTGGCGATGAAATCTCAGCACGGATCCGAAAAGCTCGAGCTGCTTTCGCTGACTTACACCATCTCTGGCGTAGGCGTGACATCCGGTTATCAACCAAGGGACGTGTGTACTGCTCATCAGTTCGCTCCGTCCTTCTCTATGGCTCTGAAACATGGCCAATACGCGTTGAAGACATGAAAAGGTTGACTGCTTTCGATCATAGATGTCTGCGATCTCTGTCTCACGTTAGGTGGTTTCACAAGGTAAGTAATGTTGACGTTAGGCGTAGAGTGTTGGGCAAAGAGGGAAAATCAATCGACGAGGCTATAAAGTTACATAGACTAAGATGGCTAGGTCACGTGCTGCGCATGCCTAACCACCGCCTCCCCCGACGGGCATTGCTAGCTGATATAGGTTCAGGTTGGAAAAGAGCCAGTGGTGGCCAAACAAAAACATGGCCTCATCAATCCATGAAATCCTTGACAGTTAAACTGAGTCAGGTAGGGAGATGCAGACTTCCGGGTTGGGGCCCTCGGGACTCTAGGAATCAATGGCTGGAGACAATAGGTGACATGGCTCAAAATCGTTGTCAATGGCGCAGATGTATTCAGTCTCTGTAATCTTTCATATTCCTTTCTACCATTACCCATTCTGTTTCACTCTTATACCTGTCAAACTCTATTGATTCTCTTCACTCATCTTCTTGTCTACCTCTTTGTGCTATTTGGAACGTGGCAACTCGAACTGCCGCAATTCGGTGCCAAGTTCTATGTTGAATCCAGACAGACAAACAACACACACAGAACTGCCGGTGAACACCACTCCTCCAACGAAAGAAGAAATCCTAAATGCGATCAGATTGTATGGCATTAACATTTGTTAGTCATTATTATTACTTTTTTAACTCCCTTACGTTCATAGTGGAACATAGGGCTTCAAGCTGCAGGCTTGAGGTTTCTCTAGCAGTGGTGTTTATTTTTGCGGGATTGGATTAGTAGCCTCATGTCCAACCTTCCCTCCTCACCAGTCTTAATACTGGCTTAAAGAGGTAAAGGAGTGTGTTGGTGGCTGGAGATCGAACCCTCGGGACCACATGCATGGTTGGCGAGCGTTCTACCGCTGTGCCACCGACGCACCGTCATTGTAATTAGGTATATATTTTGTCAAACGTTATGATTTATAGAATAAATGAAGCATAATACTACTTATTTGATCGTTAAGACCTGATTACAGTCGTGCTAGTCACATTTACAACTTATTTTGGCGTGCGAATTCTACTCTGTCTAATTCACTGCAGATGTCGAATCCTGAATTGAGTTTTTATGACCACCAGAAATGACTTCCTGTCAATTTATTTGTACTGTTTTAGTCCTGTACAACTAATCTTAATAATGAAGGTATTGAGATCCTTCTTAATAGTGTGAATTATTTTATATTATTATGCTCATAATGAAATGATTAATTAGAAATGACTAGCGAATATAGTCAACTCTTTGTCTGTAAATAGTACGAACTAACTTCCTGCTAGCGCAGTGAAGTGTTAGAACATAATAAGGCCCTAGGAAGATCTAATGTATCAATATTTTGGTTAGTAGAGATTTAGACTAACTTCAGTATAAATTTTCTCAAGATCCGCTGCCATTTAAAAAATC